GGGCGCCCCCACGCCGCGCCGGCGCCGCCCAGGGGGCCTCAGCGGCCGCCCCGGTCGCCCCCCGCCCTGACAGCTGTCGACGAAAGGGCCAGCCGGATCGACATCGAGTTTCTCAGCGGTAGATCGGATATGGGCAGCGGCGCCAGGCTGGGCCGCGCGGCCAGCCACGACTCCGATGTCGCCCGCGCACGCTCCTCCTCGGGCGCGCTGTCCGTCTCGGGGATGCCGGAGTACGCGCAATCCCCGCACAAGGGCGGTCCCCCCCTCGGCAGGCAGCTGTCGGGATCCCTGGCGCCGCGGGGCGCCCCGGCGCCCGTGAGGACGCGATCGGCCAAGGACGGCAGGCGGGCGGGGTCGCGGCACGGCCAGGCGCGATCGCCGGGTGGCGTGGGCAGCGTGGCCAGCGCCACGCCGAGGACGGACGTGACCGCGAACTCCATGGACCCCAACTGCCGCATCTGCATGGAGTCGGTCACGCTGAGGGACTTCGAGGCGCGGCGGGCTATGCGGCTGGGGTGCAAGTGAGTGGTCAGTTCCAAAGTTCGGCATTGTTCCGGCCTATCCCTTGCTGCCTGCCAAGATGCGTCGCAATGCCGGGGGGCCGCGGCGTGCAAAATCCTGACGAGAATAAAGCTCTGTGCGTGCGTGGATGTGGGGGCGTTTTCGGGACCCGGTATGCGGTCCTAATGGGCGGCTGTGCGGTTGGGAACCCAGTCGGGCGCCTGCGGACGAGGGCCGGGCGCCAAGGGCGATTTGAGCGGGGGAGGGGGGAGGATTGCGCGGCCGGCCGGCGATGTGCATGGATGGTCCGGTGGGAAGGGAGTGGGAGAATGGACGGGGGCACGGGGCGGCGGAAGCGGTGGATTGCCATGGATGGCGTTTCCTGGTGGGGGGCGCGTGGCGAGCGCGATCCGCATAGGTCAGTGCGCACGCATGCTGGGCATGAGTTTGCTGGCAAGGAAACGCGCCGCCGCATTGCGAGCCCCTCCACGCGATGGCCACCCTGATGAGCCCCTCCATGCTTTGCTCCATGCTGTGGAAGGTGTTGCTGGCGACGCCGATGGCAATGGGATGGCGCCCCAGCGGGGATTTTGTTGCTGGTGGTGAGACTCGGGATGGTGTTTCTGCCGACAGGTGCTCGTCCGGCTTGGAGATCGTGCACTTCCCTTGCGCCAAGAGGTGGTTCAGGATAAGGAGGAGCGTAGCCTGTGAGATATGCGAAGCAGAGGCCAGAAACCTGCCGGAGGGGCTGAAGAACGAAATCAGGTGAAATTTTCTGGCTCTTTCCATTTCAATGGGCCTGCTGGCCCTGTGAAAATTGTGATGGGTTCCACGTTATATTCATGTCACCTGGGCGGTATCTGAGTCGTGAGAAGGGTCCAAGGTCTTGCTTAATTCATGCTCGCATTGTATTGTGTAGTGGCATCCTTCCAGCATCTTTCATGCGAGTCTCTCTACTTAGCAGCACTGTGATCCAAAGGTTGTTTTGTGTGGGTAGATCAGCTGCATTCAAAATAGTTGGTATTCGCTGGATTGCTGGACTGGGGTGATACCCTCTCCAACAATCAGCTTGCTTGAAGTTCTACATGGACAGCAAATTGCCAAGGACGATGGCCGCTGTGGTAGAACATTGTTTTCCTGCCAGTTGCGTACATGGATGCAGCACGAAAATCGCCCCGATGCACAATGCACGCACCTGCATTCAAGGATCGTTTGTGCTGCCAATCGGGCATCAAGCCAAACGCCGCGTGCTGCGCTGGGCTCTGCACTGTCGTCGCACCGGTCATCTGTGCAGCCTACCCCCGTGTCCGGCCAGTTCATCTATAGAAACCAACTCCATGCATTGACGCATAAGCCATGCGTGACACCTGGCATCAAAGTTGATTCTCGAAACACTTTCGCGCGGCTTCGAATCCACACGCTCAAAGGTGTTGTAGACAGGGTTGGTATTTGCGTTTACCTTCATGTTTTAATGCGTAAATCGTAAATTCGCGAAAGGGGCTATTCTTACGATTTTGCGGTTCCCTAGGACACCCAGGTTTTATACGATGATGGTCGGGTACAATGATTTGTACTCCGCCATCTTTAGCGCCCACAACAGAGTGTCCACCTCTCCCTCGGCAAGGCAACGACGGCATGGCACAAAAGTTCGTTTTCTGCCCATTCCAGCGCGTCTGGTTGCTACTCCACGGTCTCCCAAAATCTGCATGTACTGTCCTTATGTACACGCGTAAAACCGCCACTACGATTTGTGTTTACGGCGGAAATACCAAGCCTGGTTGCAGACAATTGCAGCAACGACGACACCGACATTTGCCTAGGGTCACATGCCGTTGATGGTGCATTGTACGTTCTTGATCAACGCTCGATTCAGGAACACGCTGTCACTGAACACCCTGTTAGAACAAAATGGTGCATCAAAAACTGGCAGAGGAACTCTGTTTGGTGATGCCGTTTTGAAACTAATCAAGCCATCGCATTGACTGCAGTGGCATGAAAGCAGCTCTTATAGCATCAGTTAGTCTCAAGCGACGCAGTTGGTATACCAAAACGGTGCACATTCCTGTAAAGATTAGTGCAAAGCGCTCAGCCTTAAGGCACAACTTGCGCAAGTTCTCCCCAAATTTGCTATTTTTCTCATGCAATTGGATTTTTTTTCCCCAGCACCAACATCAGCATTGTGCCTCCAGGGAGCTTGCGGCCGCGGCAGAAACGGCACGGCGCGAGGAAGCCAGGGAACGAATGCGGTCGCTAGCCCAGGCGCGGATCGATGCCTTGTCGCGCTCCGACGAGGTCCACCTGTGCACGTACACGACCTTCTGCCTGCTGCCGGCGGCCATCGCCGCCATTGCGCTGGTTTTCTTCTTCTACGGTGAGGAGCCGTTGAGAGCACAGTGAAGGCGGCAAAGCACTTGCTGTGTTTGGATTACTTGATGCAATTAAAATTAGCGCACTGCTGTGCCGAGGGGAGTAGCGTTTCCAACACCTGTGGCTAATCGCATCTGCTCATAACTGTTGCGTCGTACTGTCGGGCGGGCCAACAGAAAGGTATGCATAGCCAATCCAAAGCCTGTTGTAACGTATGCTCATATGCATTGACCGAACGGGATTGATGTCGAATCCCATCAGGACGTTACCACCGCTTATGATACTAATTATCATGAACGCTCGTAAGCAGCTTCAGCAATGATGTTTCGGAAACATACACTCTCGTTCCAATTGAACAAGTAACGCTTTTGAGAGAATGTACATTGCTGAAATAGCCTTTAATTGCTAAATCGATCCGTTAATTGAAGCACCCATTCCTTCATTCGCGCAGGCTAATTTCATTGCAGCAATTTCAAGACCGCAAGCATGGAATTGTACGTTTCGAACACTTCAGTAGCTCGTTGATTCGAACTACACGGAGAGCCCCAAATCAGCCAGTTTCTGAATATGTCAATTTACTACAATAGCACGCAGTAATGCACAACAGTATACATTGCCGCAGGCCATGTATCTGTAACCCGGCTTGGCTTCTACGATTCCGGCTTCATTTTTGCGTTTGCGGTTTATGGGTAAAAGCGCGCAAATAGAGAAAAGGGCGCTTCTGCTGCAATATTTACGGCTCGTCGACACGATTACTGGTACCAGATTACTTGATGATGTCCCAATCAACGATCAATCCTCCACTCTCTCCAATACCGTCAACACAGCACACACCTCGCCCTGAGCAAGGGCAACGACTTCGCCGAGCAAAAGGTCGTTTAATGCATACTCTAGCACGTCCAGCTGCCACTCTCTGGACTCCCTGACTCTGTACGTACTGTCTTTAAGTAAACAGGGCCCAATTTTACGCATTTTTACGGCCATTTACGTGTTGAAACGTAAAAAAAAATTACGCCTAAATAGGTGTAAATGGAAGGGTGTTTAAGCCATAAATACCAAGCCTGTCTTTAAGGCAGCGGCCATGCCAGACGAAAACTCGTGCTGTCGTAACAGCGGCCACCATCCACCAGCCCAGGAGCGTCGATGAATGGCTACAAGATGTCATCGTTTTATGTTAGCCCTGCCAAAGGTATTGACTGGTCGTGACTCACTCAGGGACGTTTGTCAGCTCTCGCCATGACCAGCGTGCAGTCGCTTTGACGTAGTAAAGGGTTGGCACCATTTGGCTGTTTCTGGTCGAATGCAATCTGGGGGATGAACCCCATGACAGGAAATGCATGATTTCTAGATGGCCGAATAGGGCATTTGTCTCCCGAGTTTCAGCATACTTTGTTCCAATTGAAGCTGAAATTCGATGTTCGGCCCTGTCGCAGCATTTGAAGAAGTCATGAATGGTCATAGCGTCTCAGCGGAGACGGTCAGGTCTCTCATGACTTTCATATCTGGGCAGGAAAACAGAGGCATGTGACCTGTTGGCGACATAATATAAGCTCATGAGACATTTCACGACGTACTGACATTTTCACATCATGCGATTCTGCTACATGGGGCAGAGCGAACCCTGAGTGCTCAAAGGCGATATGAATCGTCCACAGCATAAGGGAAGACATTGTGTCGAAATTGGTACGCTTAGTGTCAATTTGACAAGGGGGGTGGGGTGGGGTGGGGTGGGGTGGGGCGGGGCCTGAGCTTCTCTGAAGGTAAACGTGCAAAAACTCGACATGGCGTCTTCCCCCCAGATTCTACACTACATTGGGATCAAGGACGGGGCTGTTCCTCCATTGTGCCGCTATCATTTTACCTTGCCTGGCCCAGGTCGATTGCAAAACCCTGCAGGTTGTTCTTTTATTGCTGCGCAGAGTACATGGACCTGAGCGTCATGTCCACCATGGTGTTTGCCATAATCGTGTCGGCCATGACGATGCTGCACTGGCTCGCGGAACCAAGCAGGTGAGGCATACTGGCAGCGGCGATTTGTGGCACACCTTGCGGTGGCATGTCCCACTTGTTGATTTGTCGTATTGACACGTGTTGATGTGCTAACGTAATGATGGGTGGCTCATCACCCTTCATGGCGTGCTGGCCATCCTCATTCTGACTGTGGAGTTAGAATTGACTGCTGGCACTTGCTCCATTGTTTGTAAAGCACTGGACCATTTTGGCGTCTGCCTTGATGGATTCTCCATAGCCCCACGGAGCATATGTGTGGGCCTCTGCACCAAGAGTGTGGCTGGTAACATGGTGGTCAAATGGCAGTGTAAGCATTCATGAACCACCACCAAGAAGGGCAATCACTGTTGCACACAGCTGGTGTTTGGTTGGAAGCTGGTGCAAGTGGTTGCCGGTGCGTTGCTATTTATGCCATTCCAAGAAAAGCTGCTGCAATGCCCCTGTGCATTGTTTCGTTGGCGTGGATGTCAACGCCAACATAGCCTGAGTATCGACGCATTGGCCTTAAATTGCAGATATGGCACTGTGCATAGAGTTTTGCATCAAATTCCGACCGTGTTCGGATAAGCAGAATATTGTGGAACCTGCAGTCGTTTCCAGGGGAGACATGTGCTCTACGAATCAGTTAATTGCCTCCTCCCAGAGCACATCATGCCCTTGGGTACTTATATATCTGCAGAAAAGGATCCTAAATTGACTCAGTCGAATTCCAATTCCAATTTCAGAAGTAGATAGCGCTGCTGATGACTCGTGCTTACTTAAGACATTAATGTTAGTAGTAATCTTATGCCTCCTTGTCCGGAATTATATGAAACAGCTGTCTGGTAGCCTGCGTTTCTATGAGGCAGTTGTTGTTCCCTTTAAAATTGAGGCAGATCATCTCGTTTTGGTGTTCAATGCTGTTTACAGGTGCAGTGGATTTGGCAATAATCCAAACCGGCACAACTGGCGTTGCAACACTTGTGCGCTTTCCTGCCCCTCCCTTCCAAAATTGTGCCCTGGAACTGGATAGGAGCCCCCGCCAGAGTGGTTCCCTCCTTGTGGACCTAGCAATGCGGAAAGGGCTGCACTGCCAACGCCAACTAGGTTCTAGCCCGGTGACCAGCATCCAATGGGTGACAGAAAGAACAACATAACGACTACAACACAACACAGAATGTAACATTCTCATTTTGAGGACTGGTTCTGTTTTTCAATGTAGCATTTTTCAATACGTTTTGCATGTTTGGAACGTGCCCGTCAGCACACTGTATGATTGACGAGAATCTGCGGCAATCAAATCATCTTCCTGCGGCACAGTTTGCATTAGGCGCAATTGGCGGCTTTCGTTGCGTGTTGCCGTGCGGTATGGAACAAGCGACGACAAATTCGCATATGAGCACGCTTGGATTTCAAGCTGCGGCTGGACCCCTTTCGGATTTCACAATTATCATGATCCAATTTGTTGTCACAGCTTGTTGTGAGTATGCGAGGCAATTCCTATTTGCGCTTCCAAAATGGTGATGTTTCTTTTGAGCTTGTACCGGTTCTCCTCAGGCCGATGCTGCACGTGGTGTTCGTGGCCTTTTTCCTGCTCGTCATAATGGGGGCCACGGCATTCTTTCACAAGATATACGGGTAGGTGTTCAAGATCGCCCGGGCCGGTCCGGACGGGCCGGCCCGGACGGTTTGTCCATTTGCCATTTTTGCGGGCCTTACAAGACGCGCCACTGGTTGTTGCCACTGCAGTTGCAGCTGACAACTACCCGTGCTTTCAAACCTAGTGCTTGCGAGCACCAGGCCACAGTGCCGTTTACCATGCCTGCACTGGGTGTCCTGGGGTGTGCGTGCCAAGGTTCCTGCTTTCGAGCAGTTAGGGTGCATGGGCCCAGGTTTTCAGAGCTGCGTGTGGCCGCCAGTACTCTGGCGTCTGTACCTGTTCGATGCGCAGTGCAGAGCTGATTACCGCTTGCCGTTCTCATTTTCAATACTCGGCAAGACCGGGCCCAGGGGCCTTGGTAGAAAGCGACTGTGGGTCGTGTGTGTGTGTGTGTGTGAAATAGTCCCTGGCCTCGGTGTCTGAGTCGCCGATCTTTTGTCTTTTCAGATGGACCAACATGGCCTCTAGCATCATCGGCGCCGTTGTCGGGGGCCTACTCAGCACGGGGCTGTACGCCGCCGCCAGGACGGCTTGGGGCCTCTGGTGCCAGGGTGGCAGGGTTGAAGAGGACCCTGAGGCCCACATGGGTTATGCAGACACACAGCCGGCCTGGAGGCAGCACAGCAATCCGCGGTGATGCCCCGTGGTCGGCAACGGGTTTGAAATGTAAATTGGGTGTACGTTTTCAATCACCAAGGCATTAAGTCGCCGGCAGCGTGTTGTCAATGCGTCGAGGAGTGGCAGGTTCTAGTTTAGTTACGGGAGTAGGCGAGCGCCCAGCCGGGCTGCCCACCTGGGGTCGGCAGTGCCTGCGCTGCACAGGCAAGCACGCATGCGCCTTGGGGCGAGGAGAATGGCCGGGAGGGTGCAGCCTGGAGAGGGGGCAGCCTGGGGTGTAGCTATCTGACGTGTGCATAAACGGCGAAGGCAGAAAATGGAGAAAACGAAAATTGGTATGACAGGCGGCAACAGTGCGCTGTCCAGTTTGGCGCTGGCAATGCTGGAGGCAGACAACTGGAGAGGAGTGATACGACTGGAGTGCCACCAACACGCAACCAAGTTATAGTTAGGAATCTCTCAAATAAGCCCAGGAGCGCTGGGGCTTTAGTGGGAACGGTGACAGCTGGTGGCGTCCTCTGTCAGAAGGGGTGCGTTCCCTCTGAAGACGGTCTCAAAAGGGCAAGCGAACCCGTGGCCAAGAGTGGGGCTGGGCCTGGTGCAGTGCACAAAGGTACAGGGGTGTGGTGCGCGTGCCCGCGCCCTGGCGCCCAGGCGAATTTGCACAACGCGAGCGAGGCATGTAATCCAATTCATCTTTGACGGAATCCCCTGAGTTCGGTCAACGCACCTCAACTCGGTGAGCAATCCTTGCAGTTGGCTGTCTTGCATATGACCGCTAAACGTGCCTGTGCAGCTGTGTTTGCCTTGTGGATGGTCTGCTGCATCCTGCTTCCAGTTACGAGGCAATAGGCAGCGACCGCGCAGCGCGACATTGCAAACGCAAGTGCGAGCAACTTGCTGTAACCACTAGGAAGAAAAGGGCCAAATAGCACTTTTGCGAACACACATAAAACACATTTCATCAAATTTCTGCATGCTAAGAACACAAAAGGAACACAAACCCGTAAACTTTGTACACGTTTGAACACATGTTAAATAGCCCTTTTTTTCTTAGTGAACGCAGTCTAGAGCACCCCGCCATGACATCCAGTCTAAGAGAGTTTCCCAAAAGCACAGCCCAGGGTCCAGCTCAAAGTTGGAGGCCCTGACGGAGCCCTGGGGGGGGGGCGCTCTCGCCTCAAAATTCAATCTACAAAGTAGGTGATTACAATGGAAACAGAAGGTCCCGCAGACACGGATCTGCATTCTTCCAACTCTCCCATCACCTCGCTCCGGAGCTGCTTCAGTGTCCTGCAATGACTCTCACCCGTGGACCACGGCCAACGATGTCCCACCTCCAATCGTGCCCCATGCGGCGGTGGGCGCAGCGCGGTCCCCCGCCGCCTCTCGGCCGGCGCGGCCCCCTTGGGCCCCCCCTCGGAGGGCCGCCCCTAGTAGTGTACACTGTACAGTGGTTACACGCGTACAAAATGGTGGAAACAAATGGCGGGGCCGCTCAGGCGGTGGCTTCCGTGGCCGCTGGCGCCGCGGTTGTCGCCGGGTGGTCTTCGCCGGCGGCCTCCCCCTTCGCGGGGCCGCGCCCGCGACCACGGCCCCTCCCGCGGCCGCGCCCGCGTGCCCCGCGGCCGCCGCGGACCATGCGCCTGCCTCGGCGCCCGGGCCCTCCGGTGGGCTCGGCTTCGTCGTGGCCGGCGTCATGGGTCTCCCTGCCGTTAGCCACCCTGCGAACGCAGCGCCCAGGGCCCACCGGTAAGCCCGCGGACGCCCCGGAAAGAAATGGCCTGGAACAGAGGCCGCCGCGGACGGCGCGAGGGTGACCGGGAGGAGTGTCCATGAGAGCTGGGTCTACCTTGGGGAGTGTGTGCGTAGAACCTCGGGGTTTTATGTTCCCAAGGTTCAGTCCAGAAGGACGCGAAGGTCGAGGCGGGGTGGGGGTTGGGGGGATTGGGGATGGGGCGCAGCGGGTTGGCAGAGATCCGGCAGCCGACTGCGCCCCGCGCGGGGGAACGCCCCTACGAAAGCGTGAGGTCCCTCCCAGGGTGGTGGCAGCCCCCCCGTGGTGTAATGCACGCCAGGTGAACCTCTCCAGCTTGCGCGAGTGCGCTCGCCCGCGTGTGCAAAGATCTGGGAGGGGTGGCGGGGGCTGGCGACGGGCCCGCGCGCGCCGCGGATCGCACCTGGCTCTGGATGCCCCCCTCCCGCGGCCGCGGCGCGCGGGCACCTTCTTCAGGGGCTCCACCTCCGTGTCGGGCAGGGGCGTCTGGTACTTAGAGGTGTCGTCGGGGGGCGTCGTTGTCAGCACAATGGAGATGACGGACAGCAGGCGGGTGGTCTCTGTGGGCTCGCCGTCCTCCTCCTGGGCGGGCGTCGTGTCCGTGACCTCCACGGAGCCGATCTCCGTCAGCTGGTACAGGCCCTTCACGCGACGCTTGAGGATCTCGGCTGCGCAACACGGCGGGCAAGGGCGGCGGCAGCCCGCCTGTCAACAGGCGACCTGGGTCGGGGCCATTGGCCCGGGCGGAAGATGCGGCCGTGGAAGGCGGGACCGGGCCGATCGGGCTAGGTGCGGCGCGCGTTTCACCTACCCAGCGAGACGGTCTTGTTGATGACTCGCCCCATCCCCTTCAGCACGACCGTGGTCTGGTTCTTGTCCTGGGGCGACGACCACCAGCCGTCAGACCCATCCCCACAACCAGGACCGTGCACAAGGCGTCCGCAACTGCAGCCGTTCGGCCGCGCGCCCAACCCCGCCGGGCACTCACCGTGAACAGAGACGCCGCGTACGTGACGTAGTTCCTCATCTTGCCCTGCGCAGTGACGCGGATCTGCGGTGCAAGCCTCGGCGCGTGTCAGCCTCCCTCGACTCCCCCGCCGGGCGACGCTTTCCGCCGCGATCGACGCGCGATCCCGCCGGGCGCCGCACCTCGTTTATGTCGATGGTCGGCGCGTCCTTGCCCTCCTTGGCGGTTGAGTCCTCCTTGGCCACGTCGGCCGCCTCCTTCGCCGCCGCGTCCTTCGCTGCCTCCGCCATCTCGCCCTGTGGCCCACCTGCCTGCGCCGTCGTGCACAGCGGCGCGGCGTCAGCCCAGGCACCCCCCTTACGGCCCCCCTCGCCCCGAAGCCAATCGCCAAATCCGGGTCAAGTCTCGACGGGGGCAATCGTCGGAGGTGCACGCTCCAAAAGGACGCCCACGTCCTTTGTCCACCCCACGCGTCGATCATCGAAGCGACCACAGCGCCCCGCCCCGGCCACCGCCCTCCCAGCTGCCAGGCATCGGAAGCAGCGCCGCCATTCGGCGCCCCTCCATCCGTCCAACCACAACGACCCTTATGCGAGCCGTCCTCGACCCAGATCGGCCATCCCGCGCCTCGCTTTCGCGCTGCGCCGCCGCCCGCCGCCTCAACGCACCTCCCCCGCCCTGCCTCCCCGGGCCACCACCAGCCACCCAAACCCACGTGCGCCTCTGCGCCCACCCAAGGGCGCACACAACGGACGACCTCCACGCCCCCGATGCCCCCCGCAATGCACAAACGCGCTCGCTCCCCCAGCGGAGGCCGCCCCGAGGATTGATGCCGGCCGTTTCCTGAGGTCCCCGCTATCGCACGCCGGGTCCCACGAGCTCCAGGCGTCCGCCCGACAGCTGACAGCCGCAGCGGACCGCCTTGCGCCACTCCCTGCGGTCCATTGGTCCAGCGATCCCACCGTGGCGATGCGGACCCGTTCTTTTTGCAGGCTCCCTGCCCTGTCCCCCTCCCCCTCCCTGCCCCGCGCGCCCCCCCCCTCCCCCCCTCCCCGCCTCGCTGAGGCTGCGGCCGGCCCGCCGCCATACCTCTGTGGTATCGCTGCAGCTCCGATTCCACTGCAATGTAGGAGGCCCCCCCCAGGGCCTCTTATACCGCCCACCCTGCGAAAGGAATCGGGATGTGCTGATGTGGAGGCCCGTCGAGCAGCGCCGAAATCTCGGCGCGATATCCAAGGGACGGCGGAGGGTGGAGCGGCCGGAACGTCCGACGGCGCTGGGGCGGATCATGGCAGCCGCCTGGAATGACAAGACCCATCTCCGCAGGCGTCAGCTGTGCTGGTTTGCGGGCGTCACTAGCGTGCCAGCGCTCGTGGAGGAAGGTGGCTGCTACGAGGTGCCGCCAAGAGGCTGGGCTGTCCCCGGGGCAGCTTCCTCGAGATTCCGCGTTACCAGAATCGGACGCTTTGGCGGTGTGTCGTGGCGTGGATTTCGTCATCGTAGAGGGGCAGCTGCCATGGTACGGTTCTCCAAAACTCGTTCATTGCATTGCGCTCGTCCTGGCCAGACGGTTCAATCAGTGGCCCTGGCGCAGAAGCAGTTGCCCTCAGGTTAAGATTGTCACCCGCTGTAGCCAGTGCGTTGAGTGCCTGTCCTTAGCAAAAGAGCAAGCGTAATATGGTGGCGGAAGCCGTTTGCGCATCAACAACTTCACTCCCCAGGGAGCGTGGGTGTGCTCAACGCACATCGCACAACGCAACGGAATCCGTTGAAGCTTGGCTAACAAAGTCCTCTTGTTGTAGCGCACCTATAGAACGCATGTTGATCCCATTCGATGTCCCCTTCCACTCTCTCGACGCTCCAGACCCTGCGTGGAGACCTGTTCTTTGGCTAAGCATGGCCAGCTACGCATACCCAGTACCTTGCGCATAGAATTTATGCGCCCAGCTCGGCGCATTAGGCAAGCGAGCGCACCTGGAAAGGACATGATGCACCCTCATGGCGTCATGCATTCATCTACGAAGTTGTCAAGGCAAGACACAGAGTGTTGGACGTATTGTGGGCATACTATCATGACGTTGCAAATGAAAATTAAGCGCTATCTTCGCAGTAGACGCACGTACAGCCAACTAAGCGTGCAGCTGGGTGTATGTGCATGTTTGTCAGGACTTGTTGGCCATGTTGAGGAAATTAACAGTCGGCCTTCAGGCCATCGATTACGTCTACTCTTGTGTGTTGTGTTGCCTCTCCGATTACCTGTGGCCTATCATCGGTGTCTTCATGCCTTACCGCCCCTTCCCATGGCATATGCTGATGTGCATTGGCATCAGTGTCTCCAGGCATGCTCAAAAACCAACGCCATGCATCATTGGGGCATCACAGCATGGAGAGCCTTGTGTGGGGCCAACCACCTAGACTCTTACTACCAGGTGGCTGGGAAAGGGACGCGTCAGGATGCTCCGCCATGGCAGCGGCGGTTGTGCACAGTCATACTGCCGTTGGCCAATCATGCACTTTGATAGCAGGACTGTATGGCAAATCCTAATCCAGTCAATGACTAAATAATGAAGCCGAATACATAATGCTGAACGTCATCGCCCCACAAGAAGCAAGAGCACCTCTGTCGTTCGAAGGCAACGTTGAAGAAAGGTTTTCATCACGAAGAACTTCATGAATGCGACAGGCCAGGTCGGCACTGGCAATTCCGTTAACGTCTTCAGCGTCAACGTTGTGTGCCGCAGGAAGTAGCCCGACGTCATGGGTTGGACGGGCATGAACATTGACTGATAACCGCCGCTTGTCATTGACAACCAAATTGCTGTAAACAGATTGGCGGTTTTTCGAATGCGAATCTTTGGCCTTCCTCAAGCCTATCGATGCTGGCTCTTCCTAAGGTTCCGCCTGATCGGGCACGGCTATCACGTACAGCTATCCCTGGGCACACAGACGTGGACCACGTTCCAGGCTTAATGCCGGCCATCGGTTCCGCTTTCCGAGCAATTGTAGTGTCTCTCCTGGTGGTCGCGATCGAGAATTGCGAGAATGGCAGCTGCGAATCGCGCACCACCGTGAGTCATTCCAATGAAGGGGGTAAAAAGTTGAAAGCCTTAGGTGGCACCTTTCCTTCAGACACACTGCGCTGGTGGTCGGGCGCATCTCGCGGGTTTTCACTCCACAGCGGTTGGAGCTGTTAAAATATCCCCGCGGGTGTGCACTCAAAAGCGAGTGCAGCGGCCAAGTTGCGGCAAATTCGCATGCCCGCACGATGATCCACAAGGGCATTCTTGTCCGCAACATGCACGATGGGACGTGCACAGACCAATGCAACTTGACAAACAGTGTATTCGCGGGGTCCCCAAGCCATGTACTGGTAGAAGGGAATCTGGGCGGAGGCCTCACAACGCTATTGGCAGCTACGTATTGAAAGGACATGCTGGGCCGACTGTTGGGCATAGGGGTCTGTTACAGGTTTGATACGCTGTCCAACCCTTCGCAAGCATTCGGCACAGGTAGGCACCGGGTCTCCAGACCGACGGTGCCCATTTCTGGCGACTAGTTCTATTCAGTGAAAGGGAAGATGGAACTGCAACAGGAAACTTGAACAATGCCTCGTTTTTCTGAATCTCTGCTTGCAGTTCCATCCCACAATATGGGTTGGATGTTGCTTGTTGCACAGGCAACAAGACATCACCCTCTAGTTCACAGAACATACTACTCCCAACGTGCTAAAGAGTAATAACTCAGAACACGCACGTGAAAGATTGGCAGTCTAAGGGACAGACATTGGATAAAATTCCCCCTCCTGTGGTGCATCAGAGTGAAAGGACACTTTATTGCTTGAATGGTGTACATGTGTGAAACGTAACCGCACACATCACGTGCAGTCCCATATTCACATCAACGCTAAGGCACAACACCATTCCACGCCAGGAAATGCAGCTGGATACCCTTATAGGCCACATAAGATAGATTCACAACACTGCGTTTAGTTCCTCCGCAGTTCCCGAATCCTGAATGCAGGATACTCAGGCCTCAGCCAAAACCATTCAGTGTTGAACACTTTCAGGAGGTGGCTGTCCACCCTGGCTACAGTTGTCACGACAAGGTACCACTAATGACTCAGTTCTTAGACTTGACACTTAGCAAGTCTTGTTCCAAGCTCTCCCCAAAATGGCACTTAGGATAAGACACTGTGGGGACACAGGATTGCCTCTGCACCTAACCCTGGCTTCCTTTCTTTCCCTTTTTATAATCCTAAGGACTGCTCAACACAGCCTCAACCGTGATTTCTTTCTTTATTTCTATTTTTTGTAATTTCATGCGAAAATGGCTTACCAAGGCCCATGCCATGTACAGCATGTTGCCAATAGAGGCGTTGTGTCTGCCTATAGCACAAGGGACCCACCCAGCGAAACGGTGATCAGCACGAACAGTCAGAGACAGGTAGATATTCAGCAACTTAACAATCATGCAAGCTCAAAACCCGGGGCGACAATCCTGTCTGCCAGCGATGTCTTGTCCATCAAATTTTGCACCAAAATGCCCTTCACCCAAACCAGCCGACTTGTTGACGGCACTGCTCTCCACAGCAATGCACTAAAGCCCGAATTCTCTCTCCCACAGCACCCTCTGCCCCACATCACAGCACATGTGTGGCCCCCCACGTACAACTGCGCCGCACCCACCCACAGCACCACGCTTCCATTCGCCCATCCTCTATGTCAACTGTCTAGGAGCAGCTTCCCCCAGCAGGGATCCCATCCGTTGATCCAGTGATCCAGATCCAAGTGGCCGACGCCCCCAACAAGAGCTAATTCCCACCTCCGTGTAACCGATCCCTTCAATAGGACCAAATTAACCGTTCACCACCGGGCCCCGCCCCTGCGCCCCTCAGGCTCCTCCCTGGCCCCGGCCCTCTGCGAGGGCGGCACGTAGGATCCCCCCCTGCCGCTCGGCCTGTCCCCCCCATCCCTCTCCCCGTCCCTCCTGTCCCCATACCCGGGACCCCGGTCCTGGAACCCCGTACCAAATCCCCCCCTCCTGTCACCCCCGTAACGGTCCCCACCCCCGTAACGATCCCCACCCCCGTAACGGTCCCCACCCCCGTAACGGTCCCCGCCCCCGTAACGGTCCCCGCCCCCGTAACGGTCCCCGCCCCCGTAACGATCCCCGTAACGCCCCCCATAGCCACCCCTGTCAAATCCCCCCTCCCCCCTGGCCCCCGGAGGCTGGTAGGAATCCCCGGACCTCTGGTACGCATCCCTGGGCGGTCCGCCGCGCTGCCAGCGGTCGGGCTCCGGAACCGTGGGCCCGGAACGCGTCCATTTGTCCGTGTCCGGGCCCGCCCTGGGGGGTTCCTCCCGCTCCCTTGGCGCATCTTCCCTCTCTGCCCTGGCCCTCGCCTGGGGATCCCCAGGTCGATCGTCCCTCTCCGGGGGCCGGGGGTCGCGGTCAGCGTTGTCGGGCCGGGGGGCAGACGGCGGCGCGGGGCCCCTGTCCGCGGCGGCGGCGGAGCCTTTGCGGAGATGCGGGGGGAGGTAGCCACTCTTGGCGGGGCCGGAGGAGTCCGCGGGTGGCGCCACGGGCTCCTTGCGCCCCCACCGGCCTTCGTCGGTTGCCGAGGGGCGATCGGCGGGCCGCCTTTCGTAGCCTCCCCTCAATCGTTCCTGTGCCTGTTTCTGAAAACAAGCCCACGAGACGCGGTCAGTTTCGGTCAGTTTTGCGGGAACGAAAAGGACGGGAAAAAGTTCCGCAAGCCGAATCGGCGCGGCGATTCGCGGACTTCCGATGCGGCGCCGGTGCGGAAAGGGGTGGCGTGCGGCAGTGCGGAGCTTGTGCCGGGGCCGGTGGGGCGGTTTGGCCTGGGGGACGCTGGCGCCCATCCCAGGACACCCCGGGGGAGGGGGGCTCAAGGTCGGGCCCCAAGGACGGGCCCCAAGGAGGCGCGGTAGGCATTTCATTTGGCCACCTCCAGCCTCTGGAGACAAAGCCACATGTCGCTACTTTGTTGTCACACTTTTCATGGATAGTGTCATCCACCGTGAGATTCTGCCAAACACGCTTGGTCACACACAAGTCGTTCGTGTGCTTTGGGGGCAAGAACACATTGCCACTGCGCCTCGATGCGCTGTTCGCTTGGCAGGCAGCGAAGCTCCCACTCTTGTTTGCTCAGAATTCGTTTGTTTCTCTTCCTTTTTGGGGCCAACCACAGTGGCAAAAATATACAGTTTTTCTTGGAACCAAACCACATCTGGATGGGAACAATCTGTACTACGAACACAGATCAACATCGCTAAACAGTCACATACCCTCCTCTCCTCATCGTCAGCCTCCCTCTTCCTGGCCGCCTCAAGATCCCTTTCATAAGCGGCCTTCTTCTCTTCCAAAATCTTTTTCCTCCTTCGCTCCTTTTCCTCCTCTTCCTCCTGATGAACATAGCAACATGGTCATCCCCCCATCGCCAAAAAAATTTCTGTAGCATGACAGTGGTGAATGCAAGCGACAACTCAGGCCCAGGCCCAATGTGTACTTGGCCTGCTCTTGTGCTGTGGTGCTGGGGTGTCCACTATGCCAAACACTGCCAGGCCCTTGCAGACCACCAGACAACTGACAGTGTTTTATGTTTTGTGCTCAGTGGGGACATGTACTCTGACCGATGTTTGAATTTCAGGTCGCATACCATGGACACCTGCTGTCTCAGCTCATGCCTCAGGCCATGAACTTACAGTGCTTCAAAGCCGTGCCAGCCCTTCAGCAACGCACCAGAAGCGGTGACAAAATGCCTGTGGATGACAGATTCATTCAGACACTATATGAGTTTCTGTTATCTGCCAAACTTCCCCTTTTGGTGGTGGTGGCACTGCAGCCGCACCTTCTTCAGCCTCTCTTCCTCCTCTTGAACCGCCTCCTCAACTTGCAGTCGGCACTGCTCCACAAACCTGGACTTCCTCTTGAAATCCCTCTCCTGCTTGCGTTGCCTCATTTGCTCCGCTCTCCTGGCCTCGTTGGCAGCACGCAGCTGCTCAAACTCTTCGCTGCGGCGCGAGATAATCTGCACAATTGTGTGCAGAAAATACACGTCGCTCCTTGTCTCACACACATAAACTACCAGAGAGAACCCATGGTACCCCAGGGATGATGTACTGAAGTCTGCAGTCAGCAGCAGGTCAGCAACGCAAAGGTAGCTGCTGACACATCGACCCGCCATGCACACAGCAGATTGATTCGTTTATTCTGTGGGATGGGTTGGGGGTCCTCTCAATGATGTACATATTAGCCTTGAATACGCACGTATACAGACACAGTTGATGTACAGACTGACAATCCAAGGTAGGATGACATTGCACCATTGTGTGTCGCTCAACATGCAGCAATCCAACAAGCTGTTACAACAGCTAGTGGAGAAATCAAAGTGTCAATACAGTTAGCACAGGCTGCGGCCGTGTCTGCTGCAATCATGCAATCCCCCACTGCCAATACCTGTGACATGAAGGTGTCCTTCGCGTCTGCCATGCGAGCCAGCCTGTGCTTCTCTGCGATGTCCAACTCCCAGGCCTTCTTTCTCACCACAGACAGCCGCTTGTGTTCCTGCAGGGTCAGAACAGGACATGGGCGTGCTGCAACCCAGTGCCATACAAACGCAAAGCAACAGGAAGGACAACTCCCATGAGCACAAAAGGGGGCCCCTTCTAATTCCTCTGCAGATCTTCAATGTTTTTAAGGCAGGAAGAAGGCAGCACACTTGAGACCCCCCCACCCCCCTCTCCGCTTCCAGAGCAGAAATGCTGGAGACTCTGACCTATGATGGAGTAAACACCAGTCACCAAATGCAAGCATGTCAGTGGTGATGGGCTGTTACCATATTTACCAGGTACTAGTAGGCACCCCCAATTAGTATCCACCCCCCTCTTTGGGGTTCGAAACCACGTTAGTATCCATGAACCGGTGTCAGTATCCAACCCCAAAACAGACAGAAACGAGCAAAGGTACGGATGGTGGTAAAGGAAGTCGGCGGCTGGTGTTGGACCATGTTGCCCAGTCTGGACTAAACGGCGTTCCCTATGATTCGCCCATCGACGGGGACTATCAAGTCGGGGTGGATGCTGTCGAGGGAGAATTGGGAAGGGGCCCCGTGAAAGGCCGCATGGTCGGCTGGTCGCCGTTGGCGCTCTCAGCGCAGGATCGTGAGGGGCAGCGACTGACACCGCGGGGCACGATCAAAGAAGAAGTCGAGAAATCAAAGCTGCCCTGGTTCCTGGATTGTGTCAAACTGCTCCGCGGCCGGCCAAAGCAGGTTTTGACCTGGCGCTTGCCAAGGGCGCCCCAAGGCTCAGTGCCAGGAATGGGCAGGCGACAGCGCTGGTGGGGATGGCTACCGCTACGAGACCCTGCCTTGCAAAATTGCCAGTAAAACGCTGCAAAGGCAGGGCCTGTCCCCAATACACACATTGCACTCCCGCCAGGTCACAATCCCAATCACAGATCCCATCACCCTTCCCAGCCACCATCAGCCTGGGAAAACGCCGCGTATCAAGCCCATCGTCGCGACATGGCGCCCCAGCGAGTTGAGACCCATGTCAGTCATCGTTCTTTGCATTGCAGAGGCAAACACGCCTCGAGCATTCCAGCGAACCCCTGTTGGCCCCAATCGCCAGTCGCCACCACTTGCCACCACCTGCCTAATGCAGCGCGAAGTCAAGGCCGCCAGTTCCCGTGAAGAGGCTGGCAACATCCCGCAATAGCATTGCCATTTTTGCCCACTTCTGGGCATTCTCACAGCCTATTTGTCAAAAAAGAAAATTTGTATACTCTTTGGGCTCAGGGGTCCAAACCGCGTTAGTATACATGACCCACTATTAATATCCACCGCTTATTTGGGGGGTCCAATACACGCCTGCTAATACCGGGCAAATACATTATGTGTGGCAGTGGAAGACCATGACAATTCATTGCATTCATGATTATTCTGTTTGATACACAGAAGAGCCATAATCGTGAAATTTACTAGAATGTATATCAGCCTCTGCAAACTAATGTACAACAGTGCAGTTCAGTTCAATTCGGCCCCCCTCACCTCTTCATGGAACTCCTTGTCCTCCACCTTGCGTGCCTCATAGGATTGGTGAATGAGTTTCACTTCCTCCTCACGGCAGGCACGCACAAAGTACTCCATGTCCCTTGAAAGCTTCACCAGCTTCTTGGCAAGGTCTTGCTGCTCTTTAACTTTCTCAGTCAGGGCATCCTGCATGCATCAAAGCACCCCAAAGGCCGCCTCAACAAGATCAGTTTGCTCGTACTGAACATGCCTTTGTGTGTAAGGGCTCTGCAACTGCCTCACAAGGTGGCAGCAGGCGCTGTGTACCAAGACAAGGGCTTCACCGACTCTGCTCAGGCATCTTCTATTCAAAATTTCTCAAGGGATAGACAAAACTGCAGAGCAGAGCACAGTGTTGGTTTTACAATCTTGAGTCGGCGCAAAAAATCAACCTAAGGGAAAAGTCACTGGCGGTTTTGCAAACCCCAGGCAATGCTGAAGCAGAATAAGCCGTCCACAACATCTGTGGCACAAAAGCCAGAGTGAATGGGCAAGCCAAGGGATCTGTGGCTTCAGAATAAGCTTCATCGTCAGATGTATTCCGACATATGCTTGTCATGTGTACTGAAACATCATCAGCCAAACCGCTTGAGTAAAACCCACCAATGCTATCACGCGGCGATTGGCCACTGTGAAAAGTATATTCAAGGTTTACACTGAGCAGTTCCTAGTCAGTGGCAATCCGATACATGCTCATCAAGAGTGTTCAAATCATCATCCAACTAATCGCGTGTGAAACTAATCATCCCTGTGGCCCAGATGAGTGGCAACAGATTGCTGGTAATGTCCCTCTGCTTCTGATCAAAATGATCGAGTTGTGCAACAGCAACTCCACCCGCAACAACCCATGCAACACATATGCACAAGCGAGTGCAGTTTGTGACGGGCAGCATCCTTGCACAAAGGCCCAGCTTCAATCAGCTCAGCTACCCCTAGATCTCACAATTGTCCACAACGTGGTGCACTAGCACTTGCGACTGCTGTTCGTTTCAACAGCTGCAGCACCCTTGCAAAAGAACAGAATGCATGCCCTAGAATGGTATCAAAGACAGTGAGGCAAATCAATCTTGCAGCATGCCACAAGCACGATGGATGATCCACAAAAGCCCAAGCTGGGCAGTAACACGGACAGATACAAGTTGACCTGAAAGTATAGGACAAGGGCAGCCACATTCATAGAGCTGCAACTCCCCGCAATCTGACTACCACAATGCTGTCCACGAAAGCACCAGTTCCCACAGCCAATGGTAAACAATCCCACTAGCGTTGTTCAGAGCAACATTTAGCTCTGTCGGCAACCACAGCTCAACCCCTGCTCTGCAAACAGATGATGCAACAACACTTTGAGGGCAGCACACCTGGTACGGCTGAAAATCAGAGTGTGTGGAAATGCTGTCGTCTGCAGAGGGAGTTGTGCAGTTTAGGACTGCTTGATGCACCCATGAGAAGCACAGCTAGTGCAATGGCCACCATGTCACAGTATGTGATACTGCCATACTGCCACGCGTCCAGTGTGCTCTGCCGCATATTCAACATCTCGTACTGTGGGTCTGAAAAAATTGCTTGCAGCACATCTGCATTTCACATTTCACACACTGAGGCAATGCAGTGCAGCTTGTCAGCAGTTTTCCCTGACCACCCACATGCATGATCTTCTTCCTGTCCATCTTCTCCCCGCCTTTGATCTTCCTGTTCCCCAGCAGCGCCTTTGCTTCCTCCATCTCCCTCTCTTCCAGCTCCCGCTGTATCCTCTCCTGTTCACGCATGAGCGCCTGCTGCCTGCGGCGCAGCTCCTCGGCTGCAGCAGCCTGCTCTGCCTGCTCCTGCCGCTTCCGTTCCTCTGCGCGCTCCTTTTCCAGCAGAAACTGCTCCTGCTCCTCCTTGCGGCGCTCGATCATTTCCTGCATATCAAACCGCACAGCTTGCTGACTTGCTCTACAATTTGCCTCCTCCCGGAGTTTTGTTTCATTGTTCACTTGCTGCTGAGTGCGCTGTGCAGCTCAAAGAACAGTTCAATGCCCCACAGACGCGGCCTCTCCCAGGTGCAGCTTATAAGGCAAGCACAGGACCTGGATTCTGCATGTCCCTCACCAGGCATCATCTGACATGTGTTGGACAAACAGCTAGCAGATTAATACTCAATTGATTGCACAGCATCGCATTGCAGGTACGAAGCCAGCGAAATCGTTGGTACACTTGCCAGTACATGGCAAAGCACTCGCAGCAATGAAGGGTACTCCTCATGCAGAATGCATGTTCTCTGCCAGCACCATAACAAACAAGCACCAAGGAATATGGCCCGGAGCTGTACCTTGCGTGCCAATGCATACGAGTGCTCCTCATTGACTTTCTCCCTGGCCAGTTCCAAGGCCCTTGCCAGCTTCTTCTCTTTGTTGACAGAGGTCCCAGGTTTAATCATCTTCAGGGCCATACTCAAGTTCTTTGAAACGATGGACAGGTGGCCATGGAACTTTTCGGAGTCCAGCGTTTCCCCGCCAAAATGCAGCATCTTCTCCTTGTGATCGACACGAATCTAGAAAAACAGCACTTGTCAGGACAGTGAGTCAAAGAGGGTGCAAACTCTCTTCAGTGTGGAGTGTTGATCTACACAAAGGGCGTACACAGGCCATCAGCAGCTGCTAAGGAGTTTGCACACTGTGCACAGGAAACCAAAACATTCCGTCGAATATGGGCGAAAACTGGGCAATTATCTGTATATTCTTTTTGACAGATAATCCTTGAGCAAAGAAATTGCAACTGTTCAACTGCCGCTGAAGAGGTATGTGCCTTGCTCGCCAAAACACAGTACTCGGCACCGGAAAGGATCAAATTCTGGAATCTTCTGTGCGTCAGCGCCATCAAGTTTGGGACAATAAAGTGTGGATGCTACACCTGGGTATTGTTCAGAAATGGTAACAGGCTATGTTTTGCCACATTGCTTGGCATTCCACACCTTGAGGAAGTTGTTCTTCACAGCGTCAACGATGATGGCCTCCACCTCCCCAAAGGACATGAAGGGCACAAGGGCTGCCAGTTTGTCCATCGTCAATGTTGAGTACACGCTGGAGAGCTGCTTCAGCATGTTCAGCACGGCCACCTGCCGTATGGGTGCCCTATGGTGCCCAAATTCGACCTTCTGGACGGGGCAGGCAGGTGACACGGGGGCCTCAAGGGACTCCAGGTCTGCCAAGATGGCCTCCACCTTAAGACCACAGGACTGTTGGTCACCAAGGATGTTGCACATCGTTTAGCAGCCACCAGAAGACAGTGCAGTTCTAAGCAACACATGCCATCAACACTGCTTACTGCCAAGGTGGCACAATAAGAACAAGCATTTAGTTTGCTCCCTTCTGCAGGAGGTGGTCTTTATGATCAACTTTGCGCAATGCATTTGGATGAGCCCGTGGAATTTATCGCCTCTCTACGTCTGAGCCTGCTTTGTACATGTCAACACATCCATTTGAGAGAATCGCACCTTGGTGCACAGCTCCAGGGGCATGAACTCCTGTTCCAGCAGGCAGAACAGCTGCTGGATTGGGGGCGGCACCAGTGCCAGGAAGTTGGGCCGGGACAGATCGGCCAGCAAGGACTCGCGGGAGTACACCTCTTGGCCATCGTACTGGTTCTCCTGTAGATGCAATGGAAGAAGGAATCAAGAACCTGGGCTTGTAAGTCCAAGGATGCATGAAATCGCTTGAAATATGACAAGGGCAAGCAATGTTGCCCCAAAGCCTACAGAAAAAAACACATCTACAGATGTCTAAATGTGGCTGAGCAAGGCTAAAACAACTACTGAGATGTTTGTTTTGTCTTCAGGTCCCACCAATTCAGCAAGGGCTATGTGACACTTGTCCATAACATGGACGACGATGTGAATTAGTGCTGCGTGATGTGAGGCCTCTCAGCGCAAGCAGAATGGCATGCTGTGGGGAGTAAAGCAGACAAGGAATAAGCACAAACATTTTTACGGAAGGCCTGCCACTGAAGCTTCTGGCAAGGTCCCAACTGACAGGCTCAACATCCAGGACTCACAATTCCAAATTGGTCAGAACAGGTGCGCTCCACAGCACAGAGGTGAGAACATCGTCTGTCTGTGTCATAACACCTGAAGGGCTTTGAGCACAGCTTCATTAGCGGACTGGCAAGAAACAAATGGCTGCCAATTCTGCTAATTTCCTTCTTCTGGGTTCAGTCAACCAACATGGTTCAAACTGCTGAGAAACCCACTTGTTGCCCAACTTCGCCACGCAATCAAGCACATGGCTCGCAACAACTCAACATCGCGCAGCAAAGACGCACAAACCATCCACTCACAATGCCGATCGCCAGGATATTGGAGAGCCGCCTCCTACGCTCCTTCTCATGTTCAGACCGGATCTCTGTGAAGGACGCGATGAAGCCTCGTTGGTAGGGCAGGATGGACAGGGCTGTCAGCATGACCGAGGATGCCATCACCTGCACATCTGATGGCTGCAGCTTCAGGTTGTAGGTGAATGTTAGGTTGAAGACCTTCTGCCAAGCGTACGCGCAATACACCAGACTCTCATCGGAGACAGCAAAGATGCGTGTGAGCTGGGCATAGTACATGGCCTTCATCTGGGGCTTCACAATCTTTTTGTTGAGGGCCACCAGGCCATTGATGTCCTCCACAGAGCGAAACGCCTCCTGCCACAGCCCTAGCTCACAGGCCGTCTGCAGACAAAACCATACAGTCCAGCTGGCAGGTCAGACAGGTAGATGAAGGGTCAGTAACAAGCAATTCTCAAACGCCCACTGAGCATTTAGTTGTCAAGTTGACTAACATTCAAGGGAAATTGAGCAACACTGATTGGATTTTTCTGCAGCAATCTGTGCTGGTTGGGTGCAAAGCGTTGTCTGCAGTGCCCTTCTGACCATTGCACAAGAATTGATAGCTCACAGACGATATACGTGTTGATATTGTGCACCTGCACAGCTGGAAGGGTGTCGAGCCCCCTATGCATGGGCTGCACACAAAGGGGCCAGCAAGCATGTATGAGGCCAAGCAAACTTGTCTTTGTGAGGGTGTAGAGCAAGTTGCTGTCCACCTCTGGGATGTGCCATTAAGCAGTTAAGAATCAGGCAGCACTGTGAGGAGTAAAGAACTCCCCTCCGTCCATGCACGAGAAGGCCAGCTGCCCATTGTGAACACTAATCACAAAGTTCCACTGACTGCAGGCGCATATGTTTGGCCACGATGTGTGGGGTTGCCAACAAGCTGTCTTATTTGCATACTGAAGTTCCCAGAAATTGTTGCCCCTTTGACTGGCAATTTTGCACCAAAGCAAACTGTGATCATCCACCGTGGCCTAAGCTAGGGTTGGGAAAACTGCAAGTGTGTCCCACACATACAACACCCACCCCCAACATTGTCAAGCGTCTCAGTTCAAACAGCTGAAATCACGTGATGGCAACATGCCTCATAGTGTGTAACAATATCATGTCATCATCGACGCCTCTCAGTTTCAGATTCCCCACTTGCCAAAAATGCAGCCATTTCCATAAGATCATAGCTGCAGCAAGCCAGAAAAACAGAGAAGCTAGATGAACCCCACAGTCTCCGGCGCACAGCAAGATGCCAACATCCACATCTATGGTTCAGTGCAAACCAAAGCATGTGGCACAAGTGGTCATCATCGCCTTGTAGATGCAAGCCCACTGCTCTGCACCAAATATCCATTACAGGAATGTGTACAGCAAACACTGGTCAAGACTACAAGGAGCGTGGGAAGTACCTTCAGTTGTTCAAATCGGGTTTCCACGTAGAGTGTCAGGGTTTCCAGATTAGTCAGGTCGGGCCTGTCCCTCTGGTCCTTGCCATACAGAGCTCTCCTGCAGCTCACACGGCAATCAGCAAGTTCAGCCCAAGAAGCCACCAATCGGCAAACACATGACAGTACCCAATGTCTTCTGCTCCTTGTCAAAAGCTTCTGACACTCTTTCCCTACAGTGTGAGAACTTATCCACCAGTAATTGGCAGTGTTAGGACCAGCATCGAAAGACAGATAGAGCGATTGACAAAATTGGCCTCAGGGGGCCAAAGGTGCCCTGGTAAGCATCGATCACCATGTGCTGCCATCACAATCCAGCGAGCCATCATGAACTCCCCTCGGAGCAGATTTTTCTGAGGGCGAGGGCACAGGAATCAAGTCACCACCATTCAGAATGGCCCCCCTGACCTTTGAATGTTCGCCAGGTGGCTTCTCAGCAGCTCGCACAGGCGCCTGAACTCTGACGTGCGCTTGTACTGCAGACAGAACTGCAGGGCCTTGTTGATCGCCATGGCATACAGGCCCTCCAGCCGCGAGTTGTGGCGCAGAATGTCCAGCGTGTTTTTGTACGCCTCCCACAGGAAGCGGAACCAGGGCGTGACCATGGTGCGGTCGGTGCGGTCCTTCGCCAAAAGGGTCAAGTCACTCAGCACCACACCAGGGCCAACAGCGCGGCAGCCGATTAGAACGCAGCATCCGCCCCCACGCCACCGAGAAAACATGGCTGGCGACAAACATGGCTCGCAACAGCGCGCGGCATCCGCGGCAAGTTGCCAACTCCATCGAACCGGCCCCGGCGCCGCTAGGAAACGTGCATGCCGGCGGACTTGAATTGCAGGAGACGAAAAAGGGCAATCTACCAAGGAGCCTGCGAACCGGGGCCGGCCAGCCGTCGCCGTCTGCTCCCCACCTTGCTCTTCTCACCGCTGACGTAGCTCAGCATGATGTCCTCTGGCGTGGCGGCGACCTCCAGGTCGCCCACCTCCAGCGACTGCGCCTGCCAGATCACAGCCGCAGCAGATCACGCCCCGCCGCCGCCGGCTGCCGCGAAACCGCGATCCGCCCATCGGCCCACCCGCCCCTCCAAACGCCCCCGCAAACAAAACACAAAAGCAAAAAAATCCTCACCGCCCCTCGCGCGCCCGCGGCAGTCCGGCATCAACCAACACCCCGCCAGGTCCGTCCGCGAGCCAATGCCTTCACCATCACCGCAGAACACAGATCCCGCCCCGCAAGATCGACATCCCAGCCCCCCGGAGCGGTGCGCCGGTGGCCCGCGGCTCCCACCTCCACCACGGCCTTGGCCTCCTCCGCCCGCTCGCCCGCCTTGCGCAGGAAGTACTTGATCACGTCCTCCAGCGACCCCACGTTCACGGCCTGGCACATGTTCCGGTACTGCTGCAGCGCCTCCTTGGCGTACCTCCCCCGCTTCATCTCGCAGCACAGATCCAGGTGCTTGAACAGGATGCTCTCGAAGGTGGCGCTCCACGTCCGGTTGCGCCTGCCGCTGGTGAGCACGTTGTGCAGCGTCTGCAGCGCGGCATGCCGCTGCCCGACCAGGACCAGCTCTTCTGCTCGCTTGAGCGCGTTCTCGGGGCGCACGAAGACGCCGCCACCGCGGCCGCCCCAGCCGCCGCGGTAGCCGCCGCCCCTGCCCCAGTTGCGCGACGCCATGGCGGGCTGCCGTGCGCCAGGTGTGCGGGGAGGTGGCCGTTGCGCGCCGGGGCGGCTGCGGGGTGGGGTATTGGGGGCTGGGGGAAAAAAGCCCGATGGGTAGGGGAAAGAAACAGGCTTGGGGCTGGCGGTGTGGGCTTGGGCCAATCAATGCCCAAGACTTGGCCACCTGCGTTGCCCAGGTTAGGGAAGGCGCTATGTCGATTTTGTTACGCTTATGATGGTTTTTTGACGTGCGGTGCTATTCGGATAGCCGAATAGCTCCGCCGGGACAATAGCACCCACCGATAAAGATGCTCTTAGCGTATATTTGACGTTAAGCTCAGACCACCCCCACCCCTTAGCGTCAATCCTTATGTCGAAGCCAGGATGACTCAGCAACATTACCTAACAGTGGAATACAATCTCTAACTGGTTTTGAGAAGAAAAAACGCTCAGTGTCGTACAAATTTGGGAGGGCTGAAAATGGGATTATAGTTGTCATTGTTGGCAAGGTGGGCAACCTCGATGCTGTAAATTGGCACATTCTAAGGAGTTCCTTGAAGACTGAACAATCCAAGGAGGTTTAGGAACAAGTCATGAGTGTTTTGTTGCTGATCAGCAGCGTTTTCAGTTGGCTGACCATTGACGTTGCCTTCTCATTCGAATTCGACCTTCAGTTCGAATTGCGAAAGGGTGCACTCCAGGTTGCGCAGTGAATCATCCAATGAATCGCTTCCATTACCGGTTTAATATTGATTGTCTCAGTGTGCATTGAACAAGTACAAAACAAAATATGAACTCAGCAGGCGATGATCGATCGAGCACGGAAGCCCCAAGCATCTGGATTTGTGGAGCGTATCGGGTGCCGCATCGTTGGATTTATTCTGATAGGAAACTAGGCAAGTTTGCATTGCTTATTTGTAGAATCACTTGATCGCGACCCGGTGCTTAGAAACAGCTCTATCTGTGGTGCGCACTCGAATTTCCCCGCGTGTCTAAAATCGGGTTGGCGGGAATCGCAAAGTTGGATTGGAACTTGGAATCGTAGATAGTTGGCGATTCCGCCTTGCGATGCTATATGGCGCCTGCAACAGGACAAGAGAAAGGCAGCCGCGCTTGCCGGATCGGTTCGCCAGCTTCACCGTGCCTCCATACCTCGCACTACTCACCACATATTCGAATATGCGAGTCCACGAATTCGAATACACACTGCATATTCGAATACGCCTTTGATATGTACATTTGAATTCGGTGTGCTCAGCGCTCGAGAGGTGGGTCACCTCTGTCGCGGTGCCTGCGCCACAGCACTGCAGTGCTGACGACAGAAGCGAATTCACAGTGGTGCATGCTACTCATCTCATCAATGCAACTGTCGACTGAATGGCATTGTGGCCAATGTGTTGCACCGCAGTTTCGCACGCAGGAAATATGTCTGGCAGGCTAGTGGAGCCTCGGTAACTCCCAGTTCTGAGTTGATAACGATGCGTAACGCTTTAAAAAAATGGAGAAAATAACCATCTTTGTCGAGATGAGGATTCAGTTGCGAGGGTAGCAAGGCGGTGGCGTCTGGAGGTCCCGACCCCGGGGCAAATTTGACGTCAAGCGTGATGATTTGAGCATATTTATTATATTAATTCAGTTTTTTTTACATTGCTTAAAGTGAAAATTTGTTTTAATAAATCAATGGACACTTCATATCAAACATTTGCATTCGGCAATAACAGCACGTCGCAGAATAATAGTTTTAAAGTGACGAGACACTCTTTGAAATGGCATTGAAATCACGGTCCAGAAAAATTGGCACATTTCTACAATGCCTGCCAAAAATTCTAAAGCAACCCCAAAAAAAGGGGAAAATAAGCGCTTGTTAACACCTCGTCGCGATTCGCCCATTTTCAGCACTGTTCGCGGCGATCCGGCTTGGCTTTTTGCCGGCGACTAATCGACGTAAACCCGCCGTTGCCCTCAACAGTCAGCAACCCGACAAGCAACCCGTTCGCGCTGCCCCAGAGTCGTCTCCGTTCCCCGACGACGTCAGCGGCGGTTCGTCGCCCGCCAAGCGCCGCAGCCTGAGACGTCCGTTTACCCGTCGCCCCAGTCTGGCTGCGCTCCGCTCCCCACCTCCCACCCCCACCCCCCGGAGAGCGCCATGCTCACCGACAAGCCCTCCGTCCACCCGCTGCTCGGGCCCACCGGCCCGCCGCCTCCCCCCCAGCGCCCCACGGGCTGGAAGTGGCCCCTGCCGGCCGAGGTCGACGAGGAGGAGCTGCCGGTTCGTCTGGACGGCGCGACCTGGCTGGACGCCGAGGCCGCCGACGGCGCCCACCCCGAAGTCGAGTTGCTGAAGTTCGTCGAGGAGAGGGACGGAACGCTGTACATCGTGGACCGCCCCACGCCGGTGCACGACTGGGTGGTGTTCTCGGTGTCGAGGGAGCTGACCAAGTGGGCGGTGCGCAACGCCCTGAACCCCCAGCTGGAGCTGATGCCGAGCTACAGCCTGCCGGGCATGTGGCCGCGGAGGGTGTGTGGGCGGCTGCAAGAGGCCGACGGCGGCTGGACGAACCGCCTGGCGCTGGCTGAGGGCGGAGACGTGCAGGGCGCGGAGCTGTTGCTGGTGCTGGAGACGGCCGTGGGGCAGAGCGCTGAGGCCGCCGTGGCCAAGGCGAGGGACGTGTGGTTCGGGGCGGACGGCGGACCCCGGCTGGCGGTGGTCGTCAGCGTGGACGTCGCGGCGGGCAGCGGGCGGCACGGCTTTCGCGCGCTGCTGCTGGACAGGGACGCGGAGGCGCCACTCGCGGACGTCAGCTTTGGCTTCGGGGCGGCGCCGGGCGGGAGCCCGTCGCTCGCGCTGCCGCTGGACAGGCTGTACGGCAAGTGGGCCGACCAGCTACCGACGGGGCTGGAGCCGCTCGCCATCGACCTGGGGAGCATAAAGCGGCCCGTGCTGGCGTGCATCGAGTCGATGGGCGTCAAGGTGGCGGAGGTGCTGCCAGAGATCGCGGCCTCGCAGCCGCCGGCGGGGCGCTCCCTGAACCCGAAGTTAGAGAGGGTGGGTTCGGTGGCCGGGTAGCGGGAGTCCCCGCGGACGAACCCTCGGGCGCGGCGGCCACGCGTCGTGTCCTTGCGGAATTTCGTTGTCTGCGGTCCACGGAGTCGCTATATATCGGTGCGCGTCTTGGGTGAACTGGGCGCGTTTGGCCCAGGAGGAAGATGTGTGGGAATGTGCCTTGGCGGCTTCGCCAGGGCCTGGGAATTGGCCTGGAGCTGGGTCGATTTGTTGATCTGTGGGAAGCGCGCTGCTGAATGCTAAGTTGGGATTCCCGTATCGCTTTCTGGTGGCGCGTTCCCAACCCACATGGAAAAAGCTGACATGATGATTGCAGCGGACTCGTACGAGCACATATCACTGGCAAGTGGATGGCCATTTTGCAATGCAAATTTTGCATACTTTCCCTTTGCAGATTCGCTCTCATGCTGGAAATGGTTCATCGGTGTGTAAATTGCGTTGGAAATGGATCAAACCCGTTGAAATTGCCATTAGGACAGTGCTCTGACCGTGAGCTCGATGCCATTCGTCGCCAATGTACCCCTATCCCACCCGTCCATCCCTTCCAGGGACTGCAGCCCCAACAATCGAAAATGTGCTCAACGCAAAATGAACCGAAGATTTATGATTCATAGTACTCGCAATGGCACCCTCGCGGGCGTATTGAGTGCGATACGTGGCCGAATTTTCAGTTCAGTGTGTATAGTGCAAATGTTGTATTGAATGATTGGCATTCGCAGAATGGAACGCCTTCGCAGTGCACAGCATGATGTAATTCCATCTCCTTCCAAAGAATCCTTAGAAATCTGTTCACAGCGATGTACAATTCCCTCCGCCGTATTGCCCGAATACAGCGTGGATAAATGGCATGTTCATTGCCATGAGCGCGATGTGCTTCAAAGACACATTGTGACATAATTCGACCTAGCTTGTCCACTTATAAATTAAAATTAGATCTACGCCTTCAAAACAAACGCCCTTCGGACAAAGCACATACCGTGGGCTCAATTTCACAGCTGGTGGTCCCTTCCTTGCTCGATAGCGACAAGCTGTTTCAACAAGCTGTTTCGGGTCATGCTTGTTTTAATTGACGAGCAAGTTTCGTTGGCTCTCATCTCGCCTTGTTGTATCATCCTAGAGTCCGATACGATGTTGGTACAATAGTCCGCCACGCAGGGAAACTACTAGTGTCACCGGACTGATTGTTGTTTGGCTGGGTTACGCCAAACCCGTTGTCGTTTTCCTCGCTAGCTTGCCTTCTGAGTCTCGATTGCTACCCAAACAACCCCAAATTGCGCAAAATCGAAGTGCAATTTCCACGGCTGCCATGCGATCGCCAATCATGTGACTACCTGCCGGCTTCCACACAGCCAGCCAGGAGCGTGCACATTGTGCATCTGTACGCAGGCCTGTTGTCGGTTTTGGGGTCGACGGCCGTGCTGCGCACATCCAACCCACGCGTTCTGGGATCACGGGCGACGACCCAAGCGGCGGCGGCGGGGACAGGTCCTTTGGCACTCACCCAGCAGATTCGTTTCCTCCTCCACGTCCAGTTTCGACACTGTCTTTGCCTCTCAGCGGCCGGCAGTGCGTGCAGCATGAACGTGGCGGTAGATGAAATAAAACAGCTCCAGAGGCAGCAGGTGCGCACGCGATTTTCGTCGACTTGCTGCATTCTGCTGCCACGCCGTCTCGAGGCGTGCGAAGGGCGGCCAGAGTGGCCGTGGGCCGTCTCAATGTCCATCGCTGCCGCTTTGCATCCCTCTCGCTTGCCATAGGCGGCCCCTTTCTGCATTTTCTGTGCCCCATCTTGCCGGGCGTAATCTCAGGGAATAAGGAACCACCAACAGCATTGCGCTTTCCCGTCTGTGATATCATCATCTCAACCCATGCCTATGGCATTTTTTGGTTGACACGGATTTAGAAACTCTGCAGTGGCACACAGCCAGTTGCTGCTTCTCTGGACAAGCATTTCTGAGCGTGCGCCATTCGTTGCAGGCCACAGGCTTTAAAAACATAGTCAACACCCTGAAATTTGCTATAAAGTGGCACCGTTCACCCATGGATGATTGCAAAGGTGCAGTGGTGCACAAGAGATGCAAGTACTTCCCTTCTGGCATGCCAGGGGCAACGTTGTCTGTTTGTTGGAGACCTGACTTCTCCAAAGTATGCGTGTTGTAAACCCGGAGCCCAAACAACTAAAAGCACATGGCGTACAGTGCAGATGTTTCATCTGCCCAACGTTGCCTCAAGGGCCCTGGGTACCATTTCGTCAGCCTTTGAGAATGCAAAGAAACGTGTTGCGCATTGGTCCAAAGGCTGATTGCACAGATGCAAAAATCACTGAAGGGACCAGATGTCCAAGAGAGGTCACTGAGCTGTTGCCTCCCATCCACGCTGGAATTGCCTGTTCTTTTTGATCAATGGCTCTCTTATAAGATGAGTTTTTTTTTGGTGCTTGCCTTTTTCCTCTTTTGTGCTGCCCATTGTTGTGTGCTTTGCTGTTACACCAGGGGAATGAATCATTGCATCCTCAACACAAATAGCCAATCTGCATGAGGTTCGCTCCTTATAGAGTGTTCTGGAAAAGTCAAGCATCACGTAATGTTTGAGTCAGTATGCATAAGACAGGTCTGACGGCATGTAGGGAATGCTGCACTTGGGAACTTCTGCAACACCCGGTTGGAATGGAAACGACCATTACAATGCTCTGCTCATCCTGGGGCGCCTACCACATGCCCCCCAACCACGATCCCCAATAATAGAGTCAATTTGCCTCCCTTTGCAGGAGCGGATCAGGAACATATGTGTGATGGCACACGTGGACCATGGCAAAACCACCATGTCCGACAGTTTGATCGCATCTAATGGCATAATCCACCCAAAATTCGTTGGCGAGCTTCGGTATTTGGATAGTAAGGAGGAGGAGCAGCTGCGGGGCATCACCATGAAGTCAAGCTCCATTTCCCTGTTGCATGTACCAGGAGCTGCTGTGTCGCAAGAGGTGGGTGAATCAACCCTGTGGCCGCCCTATTTTGTGTGGATATGTTTTCCATTCATTCCTTGGATTGCATTCCCTTCCCAAGGCAAGCTGGACTCTTGAAACTTGGCAGGCGATGGCAGGCTTTGAACTATTCTTTCCAACTTCTAAGCAGCAGAAGAGGGTTTGGACATGAAGTCCTAAGCAGGGGTTGTCAAAGCTCAAGTGTTATCCAAGGTTGTCTTCATTTCGTGCTGGCATGTTCTGTCTTTTGATGATTCAGGGGGCTGTAGGAGTGCAGGTTGCATCGCAGCATTTTCCTGTTAGCTCCAAATTTTGGAACCCATTGATATATGGCTATGCTGCTCCAAAATGTCAACTAATTACATCGTGGCTGCCAGGGACCTGCCAACCTGGGCCCCAAAAGAAAAGTGTCAGAGGGCTACCTCATCAATTTGATCGACTCCCCTGGCCATGTTGACTTCTGCAGTGAGGTGTCAACGGCAGCTCGCCTCAGTGATGGATGCGTTGTGGTGATAGATGCTGTGGAGGGCGTATGCATACAAACTCATGCTGTCCTCAGACAAGCCTGGGAGGAAAAGGTAATTGGCTGAAGATAGGGTAGGGGGCATACTGAGCTAGCAAATATGTACTCCTAAACTTCACATCATCTCGTGTCAACATTGCAGACAATTTCTTGGTCACCAAGTGAGCACAGCACAAGCAGCTCTTGCGCTGTGGAAGAGCCTAGAACTTTCTGACTGGGAGGGATATCTGGCATACGACACGTTGGGTTTCAGTAACGAACCATGAAATGCAATGTACTCTCCTTTGGCCACACTTGATGTCGGTCTGGCTCTGGTTCTTTGGGTTTTTCGCCTGCATTGTGCTATGCTGATGACACAGATATTTCACTGCACTGGACAAACATACTGTTACAGCATATGTTTTCTGTGCAATCTAGCAACAGTATCAACTTCGATATTCCCTTTTACCTTTTTCATTCCAATTCATTACATTGCACAGAAGAGTCCAGAAGCCATTCCTATCCCGACAAAATGATGCGCCCCTGGTGCTGCCTCAAGGTGATGAACGCCTGAGATATGGATTGCATGGCAGTGAATGCACAATCTGAAAGTAACAAAGCACTGGTGGTTGTAACACATCACGTTGTTGCACACCACTCACTTCAGCACTTTGTTCATGGTCGCTTAAGTACTAAGCTTGGGCTGTCTTGCTTTTTGAGTCGCAAACCACTTTCTGTCCGTGTGCAGGTGCAACCTTGCCTGTTCATTAACAAGGTCGACCGCCTGGTACTGGGCCTGAGGATGTCCCCTCAAGAGGCCTATGAGCACCTCTACCAGATCATTGTTCATGTGAACATGATTGTGAGTGCCTTTGAATCTGAGCAGATGATGTCTGAGGCAGATGCTGTCCTTGCCCATGAAGCAGCCAAGGAAACCATCAGAGAGGACATCAGGTTGGTTTTGCAGGACTTGCCTGGATGTGTCCCAGATATGAGGCTGATGATATGCCCAGTGTTTGTAGAAGTAATAGGTTGGATTGGCACCCTGGTCGAGGTTTGGGCAGGGATCTGGTGATCATGGCTGAAGCTTTGCCACGGACATGTTTTGCACCTAGTGCCACCTCCTCCCATCTGCAAACAGAGATTTCCACATCGCCTGACTCTACAGTGAAATATGCCCAGCAGCTTGCCAGAAGGGTGACGCACCCAATGCATTGGCTGTATCTTCTTCATTATATCAAGCAACATCGTGTGCCGTGCTTGTCAGGGCAGCAAATCCAATTTGAGGCTTGTGCATGGGTGTGCGGGAATATGCCGCCCTTACCCACCTGTACTGCGGGTCGTTTTGTTGCTTATGCCGAACAACAACAACACTCTCTGTACACTGTTCATGATGAGCGTAGTGGTGGAATGGCTGTGACGGGTGCACACAGCGGTGATCATCAAGCAAACAGCAATTCTTCCAACATTCAAACAGGAAAAAGGAACTGTCTTAGACAGTTGCTTGTCATCTGATGATATGGGACTTTGGGTTTCCTCTTGAAAGCATTATGGGCTCCTCGTAGAGCACTGGCGGATTTGAGCTAAATGATGAACCCAGTTGGTATAGATCCTCCCAAAGACAGGATGCCTTGTTGGGACTTTGTCCAGAAGGACAAATTGGTTTGTTTAGTTGTCTGTAACCATCTTATAGTGCGCAAACAGTGATTCATGGAGCTTGAATGACATGAACAAATATCCCTCATGTTCCCTGGGGGGCTACGTTTGGAAATTTTGCATCGTACTTCTGGCTTGCCAATATTGTGAGCGCAGTGAAAATGATGGTAAAATCAACATGGAATCGAAGATACAGCTCTGTACATATGCAGTTAGCATGTGCACACACTGAATGTGCAGCAGTCACATAAGGTCAGTTTGCAAGTTGTGCATTGAACAATGTTCCATTGCACCAGGCACCAGTGTGTTTCTCTGGTGGCACTGTAAAGGGCGTTGAAGTTGCATTCCTTTTATTCAGTCATGCTATGCCAATGCCATTTATGCCAGTTTTGCGGCGACACTGGCTTGCAGCACATGTTGCAACACTGTCAATTGCGGTGAAACATTGAGATAATTGATGCAAACTTTTAGAATTTTGTTGCCTTGTCATGTAAAGGAAAGCAAAAACGCTTGATTATCGGGCTAAAATTGACATACATGCTCTCTTTCTTGAAACCAACAAACTGTGATTGTTACACAACAGAGATTGACTAGATAGACATTTGCTTGAAGTACACAAGGACGGAAACGACAGCACAAGGATTTCTTCAAGAAGAACTTGGTAAATACAGGTCAATTGCATGCGCTCCATCTACAGCCTCTCTGTGTGTGTTTTATCAAGCTAGAGTCCAGGGTGCCAATGCTGCTGAACACCGTGACGAGGAGCTGGAGTTGAAGGAGGACACATTCAGTCCCTCCAAGGGCAACGTTGCCTTTGGCAGTGCCATTGATGGTTGGGCCTTCCGTACAGACCAATTTGCTGAGATGTATGCCTCCAAGCTGGGTGCCAGTGCTGTCTCGCTGCGCCGGGCCCTGTGGGGCGATTATTACTTCCAGTCCAAGACAAAATCAGTTGTGAGGCGGAAGGCAGTGGCGGGGAGGCTACAGCCGATGTTCGTTCAGTTCATTCTGGAGCCCCTCTGGAATGTAGGTGTTCCATGAGTTTGACCCCCGCAGCTCTTTTGTTCGAACTATTTGCATTGCACCATGTGGGTTACGCAGAAAGAATCAAAAGCAGGCTGTTGCAATGGGTGGAGCAAGTTTCCTGTGTTTTGAATCGTTGCTTCTGTGCACAGCAGCAGATCTGTTTGAAGATGCACACTTCTTGCGTTGTGTTAAATGGCAGTGGACAATGCAGATAAGAGGGGCTGTAAACTGGCAAGAAGGACAGGGAAATTCCTGTCAAGGGAGTTCCTCAAGAAAGCAAAACGTGGCCCGTTCTCTTGCAGGGAGATATGGGGCTGGCAGAAAAGCCGACAGCCAATGACAAAGACTTGTTTTCTAGAGTCCCACTCTGGTTGCATTTGCCGGAACTACAACAGCGCACAACCCTTGTGCTCTGTAGTACCCTTGCCTCACGGCGATGTTCGGTGAAGATTCTCGAACGGTGCCAGTAGGCGTGAACATGCCAACCATTGATCTTCATCACCGTTGACAACTTCTTATGTTGTGGTCGTGTACATCCACATCTTCTTTCATAGCATGCAAAAGAATGTGAAACAGTTAGTTCAGGAAGATGTTGCCAAATGCGTGAAGGGTGTCCTTTGAGAGATTCTTCTACTATTATTGGTGCTCCCTTCAAGAATCTGGTGGCCTGCTGTTGTTGCCCTGTTGGGCCTCTCGGCCAGGCTCCTGGCATGTCTCTTGTCAGGCTGATGCAAATTGTGCATGGTGGAGATTCATCGGCGTTTGCTTTCACCCAGGCCTACAGTGTGTGTGACCCAGGCACGGATGTTCTTGGGTTGCTATCGAAGATAATAAAGGCCCGAAGACTGTCAACAGTGGATGAACGGCAAGTGAAGTCGCCGGACCCAAGACAAGCACTGCGGGTGAGCTGCTGTTCAAATGTCAAGATCCCCTGTGATGGCACATGCAGAATTATGGCGAGGCAGTTCTTGGGGAGCAATGGAACGTTGCTGGACACTGATCACCTCACAGTTGATTTATTCTGTTGCGTTCGATTCCCAATTCCACTTTTTGAGTTGCTGTGAAGTCCATTGCATGCGTGCAACGTGGGTATGGATCTTTAGGGACGCACACACAAAGTGGCACTGCGTCGCCATCTGACATGTTTGCCACCCAGATATCGTTTGTATGCTGGTGTGTCAAGATTGGCTCATCTGCTTGTAGCAAGCGGTACATCTTGTGATTCAGAGCTGAAGTGTCCTGCTGCTAGTCGAAATGGGGAGTTTGCTGGCTTGCACAGAGCTGGGACTTGAAATTTCCTACACTGGGCCCATGTGGTACCTCCAGTACTCCTTTTGAGGCTGCTGTAGATTGTTTGCATCTCAGTTTGGTGTACTTTCTGCTCGCTTTTTTATGTGCTGGCTCTGCCGTGATTCTGTTTTCATGTGTTGGCAGGCTGTGTTACGTGCATGGCTTCCTATCTCAGAGGCTGTCCTAGGGATGGTAGTTCAACACATGCCAAGTCCACTGGTGAGCCAGGGTTAGCTGTGGCTGCAACGCATGATTTACATTGATCTGGCTGCGACGTACTGTGTGATCCTGATGGTGGGGGCCTTTCCTGACTGCACACTTTCCCACTTCGTTGAGCATGAAAATGTGGGTTTGGCTGTCACTCAGCAATGGACAATCAGCGCAGTGTTGTTTTTTCAGTTTCAGCTAATGCTACTTGGCAATATATTGGTGCAATGACGAATATTGGTTTTGAGAAATAACAGTGTCTTGTGCATCCATAACAGCAGTTTGTACAATGCGTGTGTCAATGTCAACATCGGATGCATTGCCAACTCTTGTATCCACTACGTCCAAATCAAATAGGCTTCACAATCCTCAACCCACGAGACAAGGAAAGGAAAGAACAACATGATCGTGACGCTTTTGTCATCCGACGGATTCAGGTTTTTCTCAAGGTTCCACATTGAAGAGCTGGCTTTTTGAGTTTGCCTTGTGGTCGTTCTGCTGATGGTATTGGTGCTTCACAGACGTCTTTGTGTTGGCAGCTACCAGTGCCCTGGGCAAAAGTAGCCCTGCTCAAAGGATGAGATGGGATGTGATTGGATGTGATCGTGAACATCTTGTGTGAGATCTGCTTGTGCAAGAAGGAGACACAACAACTTCTGGTTTTGCATGTCTGCTCTTCATGGAGACATTTCATTTTTTTGGAGCCTTTCCATAACTATATAATTGTGCATCATGGTTTTGTCAGGGATGGGCAAGGGCCTCATGAGCTTCTTGTTTCCAGGGGAATACATGTCAATTTCTTTCATATACAATCTTCATAAATATTCTTACCAGCAACAACAACGACCATTCATGCTGTGCATGCAGTCTTCAGCAAGACTGCGAATACCTCACTTGCTCTCTAGCGGCTCCTCCACTCTTCCCTTGTGTGAAGGCCTCCCCAAAGGGGTGTCCAGGAAGATGGAGGCGGTGACGGGGGCCCTCATGGCATCGAGCGCTGATGTCGATGCACCCCTGGTGGTCTATGTTTCCAAAATGGTTGCCACACCCATCGACCAGCTGCCAAGGTGAGGTGGCATGTAGTGAGCAAGGGAGGACAGCTCATGTGACACAAGGAGCCAATGTGGGAAAGTAACCTTGGGCAAAGGCGGCTGTGCATGCAACAATGTCTTGCAGTTCTTGCTGTGCATGGGTGGGTTATTCTTCATGCATGCCTGGATACAATTGCAGCATAGTGGAGATTATTGTATTCTCTTATGTAAAGAGGGATTATACAACAAGCAAGGAGACAAAAGCAAGGACTGTCTCAAGTGCTGACCATCAGACAAATGCAAATTTGATGTACCAGTCATCGTGGGCTTTATTCACCATTTTGTGTCCCGACCATGTCTTGATTGCTGTCAGTTGCGTCCACTTTATGGCTTGATTGATGTCAGGAATCACGGCTCGCATGCGGTGCCACATGATTTATGCCTGCCACATTCTTGGTTGATCATGCTGTCGGTTCATCACCCCCCACAGCATGTGTATATGCCCTTGAGTGGCTGCTTGTGGATATATCACCACACTCAATGCTGCCTACAGGCAATGTATCGCAGTTGGAGGGACCTGACGAAAGAAAGCGCGTGTGAACACCAGCCCTCCAAGTTTTCAATTTGGAGGCGATGAACAGTTGTTATTGAGACAAGCACTGTGGATGGAATCGACATAAGGACAGTGCTTTGTCAGTTCTTGATATGCGGAAATGAAACAACGCAGCAAAATGTCAAAGAATGCTGACCCTGCTTTCTGTTCGTAATTCCTTGAGCAAGAAGTTATATAGGTGGCAGCTTCTGGGTCCTTCATGTCCGTTGCAAGAGCTTACTAAAATTTGTGCAGTCAGGTCACCTGGAGACTGCACGCCTGTGAGTGAGAATGGTGTGGTGTTCCTGGCATTTGGTCGAGTGTTCAGCGGGGTTGCCAGGTCTGGAGCAAGGGTGCATGTGCTGACAGCGAACTACAAACCGACGAGTCCAGGAAAAAATAGGCAGACTGTGGTCCTTGGGGACCTTTACCTGATGATGGGCAGGTGCTTGGAGAGACTGCAGGTTTGTCTGGTACATATTTGAAGGAGTGAGCACATGGCATTGAGTTTTAAACCAGGAAGTGAGCATGTGCCCTTTGTGTGTGACTATGAATTTGTGTTTACATGTGTATGCATATGTCACTTGCAGTAGCACATTGTATGCGTACTATTTATTGCATTTGTGCTTCATGTGTTATGCGCCACCCAACTGCTGACATTGTGGATCTCTTTAACCCTGCGGCGAAATTGGAGCTTTGGTTGTGTATATTCTAATTTTGTGGATGGCAGGTTGTACTTATGAAAACGAAGATTTGGCACATTGCAAATGGCTGTCTGAAGAGACAAGAGCTGTCGCAAACAAGGTTCTACGTGTGCCTTCCTCAATATAGTTGAAACATATATGCTGCACAGGTGACGGTCTGCCTTTTCTTGTGCATGCCGTTCAAGCCCAAGGACCATTATCAGCTGCTCGTGAAGCAAGTCTGTATGAGGATCCTATGCCATCCTATGTCTTGGTCAGTTTAATGCTGTGTCAGGCTCCAGACATGGCCATAGTTGTTGACAAGATTGTTGTGACCACATCGCCTCCTGTACTTAAACCTTGGGCCCCACTGTCTTTGGGGCGGCAGGTGTTGAAGGTGCCTGTCCAAAAAACTGGTCAATGCATGTTTGTCTGTACATTGCATGGCGATGGTGGCACTGGCACGAATGGCTTTTGGGATAGCATTTTCTTACTGTGCATTGAACAAACTTCACTGTGTTTTCGTCAGGCTGTGCCGGCTGGCAATGTGCTGGCGATCGCTGGCCTGGAGCATGCGATCGTCAGGTCGGCCACAGTCACCAGCACCCCAGCTTGTCAGCCCCTCGTCCCAATGACATTCCAGGCTTCTCCCATCGTCCGGGTCGCTGTGGAGCCCGTGCTGCCTCCGCAGATGCACCAGCTAGCTGCAGGGCTCGCCTTGTTGTCGAAGGCAGACCCGAGTGTGGAAGTGCAGGTCCTGGACAGTGGGGAGTTCATTCTGGGCTCTCCTGGGGAGGTGCACCTCGACACATGCCTCAAGGAGTTGAGGGAGCGGTTTGCAAAAATTGAACTTGAGGTGTGGGAGCCTGTTGGCTATGGCCCAAGTGGTTTGTGGTTCATATTGTGTTCGAGTGGGTTGCCGTTGTTGGCAGGGGCCACTCTGTTGTTTGACACAATCCAGGATTGTGGGGGGCTGTGTGAACACATGTTGACTGCATTTATGAAATGTGGAAAGTCATTGCCCTTTTGCCCACTGTGGAGTGCTGTTTGTGCATGTGTTTGTGTGTTTAAGCTCGGTTAGGGATCAGGTAAGGCATGGCAGCACTGTGCAAATCACCCATGGATGCCAGCAGAAGATTTTTTAACTGCCCTTTTTGATCCCAAGGCAATAGACTGTAGTTCAGCTGGGCATCTGGATGTCATGTTAGCACAAATTGTGACTGTTATGAAATTGTGACTACTGACCAGAAACTTTGACACATTTGAGTTATCAATTTCTAGGTGTATCAGAGAAGTATTGGAAACTACCAATTGAGATGCATGCCCTTTGCTCAACAAAACATTAATTCCTTCCTGCCGGTTTCTTTGGTAGCTGTTGTGCGTTGTATCAGCCTGTTGGAGATGGCCTTGCAGCCTGTATGGCCTAAGCCTGATTCCCCAGTGTAGTGCAGCACAGTGAAGAAAAGTATGGAGAGAAGAGCATTGCACAAGCCCTTCCACTTCACAACGAAAATGGAGCAGCTGCAATTCGACTATCTGGCTGACCTGCGCTTTGCTCCTTGACGGTGATGGTGGGATGAAACAGGTTTCACCACCCCTTGTAGCTTTTCGTGAGAGCATCTTTGATGCAAGCGAGGTGCCAGAGGAGGCTGCAAGTCAGTTTGTCAGAATCATCGATGCAAAGACGCCCACGGGCACGTGCGAGATAAGGGTTCGTGCACACCCCATTCCCAGCCGCATTGCATCCCTGTTGGAAGAAATGTCTGAAGTGCTTCGGGCCATTCTTGTGTCTGACAAGAATGTGGACGTGGCCGAAAGGGAGAAGGCGATGGATGTGCTGCATGAGGCAATGAAAGATGTGCCCAAGGCCTTTCAGAGTCTCATGAAGGTCAGGGAGGCCAAATACCACCTCATTCCTGTAGTGCTGCACACTTCTGTTTGCAACATTATATGAACAGATGTGATTCCATCAAGTCAAACAAGCAAGGTAGCTATCAGATGAAGAACACAATGTGATAGAAATTGAAGTTTCATTGATGATGGAGGACAACCCATGCACATTGAAGATGGTGATGGGCACTTATTGCCAACTCAGGATGTGGCAAATGCTAAGCCCATATTTAATTCACGTCTTTCAAAATTTGCAGTACTCTGTTCGTATTGGGACTGGTGTCTGCACACTTCATCCCGTTTGTTCTGTCTCTGGTAATGCATCGTGGACAGCTTCAGACAGTGTACAAAAAGGCAAGTCGCTCACAAGAGTGAAAGTTCTGCAGATGCATCGTCAATGAATAAGCCTGTGTTTACGATGCACTGTGCAACAGGAGTGTATTGGACACAGGGCGTGTCCAAATCCATGGTACCATCGTGGTACAATCTTGGCAGCACAAGCTCACAGCAAAAACAGATTCAACGGAATGAAGGGAACCTTTCTATTATTGAATTTAGCAACCAGAGTTGGGCTTTGTTAGGTGTTAAGCACCACATGTTGCAGCAGCACCTGAAAGCCTGCGAACTTATGGTGCCACAGTGGAAAAGACTCTGACCGAATTGTTATGTATCAGATTTGAATATGTGGGGATTAGTCTGTGGTTTGTGTAGAGGAGGTTGTTGCATTAGGGCATTTCCATGGTTGAGGCTACCGTACAAGTTGTCATCAATTTGCCATAGGTGGCAATCTAGCCCCCAGAGGAAGTAAGAATACTTCTGAACCAAAACAGAAGCTGTGCTACTTCCAGGACCATCGCTGTTCCAGTATTTAGGGTGGAACGTGAGGATGGGTTCTTTTTGTAGATTGAGAGTTCAAGTTGTTTATGCACCCTTCTGGGCTGTGCCTGAAGAGCCAGAGCTCCAACTGTTATGAATCAACTGTGTGCCAGCCCTACGGGTGACCAATTGATTCTCTTGTTTATTGTTCACTAACTTGCCTTCTTCATCCCAATGATTTTGACCACTTTTTGTTTTCCCAATATTGTTCCATATTTGATGGTGTATGCCAGATAACAATAAACCGTGGCCCTCTTGAGCCCAGAATTTCATGTCAGATGTAATTTGGTCTGCACTATTGTTCAAGAATGTTCGTTCAGTTCACCCAAAGCGAATGCTGTGCATTATGGCGAGAGGCAAAATGTCTACTGATGCAATGCAGAGGGCGTGGTTGCTGGGGCCCAGGCGCGTGGGCCCGAACCTGCTGCTCTGTCACAGCACAGCTGGGCCCAGTCTGTTCGACGCACCCCCCTCACAGGTGGCCCACCTGGACAAGAGCCAGAAGGGGGGGCCCCAACCCAGCAAGCCAAGCAGGCCACTCGCCGAGTCCGTTAGGGCTTCTGAGGGCAGCAGAAAAGTCCTTCAAGGCAAGAATGAATCCGAAGATGGGGATGTGGTAGATGACGATGCAAAGAGCGCAAGAAGCATTGAATCCACCCAGGTGAGAGCTTGAGGAACTTGAGGTGTTGGCATGATGGGAATGGCCCGTTCTATTTGCTGTCTGATGGGCCAGTGCAACACATTGCTCTGCTTGATGCAGGCCAGAGTCGAACGTGTGGCAGTTGACTTTGTTTTGCTCCATTCAGAATGCAAGGAGTATTCGATGAAGTCCACAAGAGGTCTTTCTTGTGCCAGCACTTTTACCAAATCGTTCTGCACCGCCGTGCTAGAAACCTGGCACTGTTGTAGTCATTCCTGATGATAGTGCTGGAAAATTGAAGTTCCGTGATCGGTGTGCACGCTTTGGCGATATATGTGCTGATATGTACGGATGTGCTGTATATGAGATGTATGGCAAAAGTACACATGATGATGATTTTGATGGTACCCTGCAAGTGCTGCGAATTGCGACGAGTTGCCATTCACAAACAACCGAAATCTTTGTCAGTTTCTATATCTAATGTGACAACAAGGTGCTATTGCTGTCTTGGGCATTTGCTGCCCTGGGCATTTGCTGTTCTGGGCAGTCGTTGCCCTGGCTGGATCGGCCACGACAACTCTGGGTTTGGAGATTTTCAGACACGTGATGCGATGGCTAATTCCATACCCTGGCTCGAGACGGTCTTTTCCCTGCGCAGGTATCAAAAGTGGCAATCAACATTCCTTTTGACGTCCCGGACGCTGCGATTCGTTTGGGTTTCACCAAAGCCACCTGTGACAACTCATCAGCGACGGAGGAACAGCTGCCCACGATTTCTCAGAGTGTCAGGTCCAGTGTGGAGTCAGGCATCGTCGGCGGCTTCCTACTGGCTTCTGCAGCGGGCCCGCTGTGCGATGAGCCCATGTGGGGCGTCGCCTTGGAGATTGAGGCGAGGATATTGGCACCCAGTCAAGAGGAAGGCCCTGGGGAGCTGGATGTTGGGGAGGAAGTGTATGGCCCGCTGTCTGGCCAGGTAAGGAGTGCTGGCAGTATGCCATTTTTCCACATCAGCGTTGGCACCAGCATCAGATTTGAACAAATGTTGCTCGTGTACTGTCAAGACGAACATGGGCTGGTTTTGCCGAACTGGCAGAATCAGCATTGAATGCTGAAAATTACCCCAATGGCAGTGTCTGTGTGCAGTGGTTGAAAATGGCGACAATGAATTCAAGCCCGCTTCAAGCCAGGAGTTTGCTCTGCTGGCCCTGTGTTGGGATGTGTGGCGCAAGGTCTTGTGAAATGCATTTGTAATTTGAAGCATGGGTGCATATGGTGCCTGCTTGGGCCTAAAATGGTTCACAACATAGTCATACGAGCTGCTATCGCATTCTATCAACGAGGCCAATTGCACACAGTTCAGCTTTCTCTAGCGATGCATGCTACAATGTAGCGTGTTCTCACGCTGCCTAGCAAGACTTTTGCATGAACTGTCAAGGTATGGAGCAGAGGCACGCCATCTTTTGGTCAACAGGTGTGCCCTTTTTTGTGATGTGCTCCTTAATTGTTAGCAAAGAGTCTCTGTGTGGTCCAAGCTCGCTAGATTGCAACGCTGAGATGAGCGGAACTCATACCACAGTGTAAACCTCTCCTGCTGTCAAGAGGGATTAGTTGCAACTGTTGGGAGTGTGTCAAGCACTAATACACACTAATTGCTATTGCCAAATGACAACGAAAAGATATTTGCCAGAAAAGTTGCATAGCGCAAATTCTAGAATGTTCACTGTTAGAAATTTTGTCAAATTGCCACAAGCTTTGGTTGGGTTGTCTACTTTCAAAACTGAAGAGGTTTTGTGCTTGCCCGAGGAAGACTGCCGTTAGCAGAGGGCTTGAAGTTCGATGCTCCTGATAGAGAAATGCTCCTGAAAGAGCTTCATTCGGAGCTCACCACGCCTTGCCTTGCGGCCCCTGTGCAGGTCATAAACATCGTGAACATGGCGTGCCGAAGGGCCGTGGTGGAGGCCGGCCCGCGCCTGGTGGAGGCCATGTACCTGTGCGAGGTGCAGGTCACGGGCTCAGAACCCCTAGCAAAGGTTGGTTTTCCACGAACCTTGGCTTTGGCACGGCAAATTAAGATGTTGAATTGCTTTGAATGAGCAATGGCAACGGATATTGGCGTCTGCTATGGCTATTGGGTGGGAGCGGTGGACGGGAGAGCCAGGTACCCTTCGTCGCCTTGATTGGCTGGCCGTTCCATACCCGTCGCCGCGCCGATGTTTAGCTCACCTGTGTGGTGCGCTTGCTTGCTGGGCCTGTGCACGTCTGATCACGGTGCGGAAAAGAGCCTGATCGGGTTGTTTCCGATGGAGGCTTGTGCACTGTGCGACGTCACCTTTGTTCACAAAGACTCTTCGCCTGTCGAAGGTGTATGCTGTGTTGTCGCGCCGGAGGGGCACAATCCTGCGGGACGAGCTCCGAGGCGGATCGGACGTCTTCATTGTTCATGCGTACCTTCCGGCAGAGGCCTCTTTCGGCTTTGTGGACGAGCTGAGGAAGAAGTCTAGAGGCGGCGCCACCGCCAGCATGATGTTCAGCCACTGGGAGCGGCTTCAGGTGGGTGCTGGCGCGGGGTCTGGTGTGATGCGAGTGACGTTTTCCAGGGTTGGAGGCGCCTTGCCTTCTTGTAGCGGGCATATGGAGACGCTGATGCAAAAGCTACCCCGCCCAAACATTGCTGGCAGCATGGAGTCGAGAGCGTTTGTCAAACAAGGCGCCTTCCGCAACTCGCTATCTTCCCCATTGGATTCGATGCCTATTGGTGTGCATGTGAATCAACGCCTGTTGGACTCGCCCATTTAGATTGTGGGGTGGAGCGCACCCAATCGCGTGGCTGGGTGCGCTGCGCCTCGCAATCCAGAAGGCGTCAGCCAGCGTGCCCGCTGGTTGAAGCCATTGAACGAAGGCATCGCCACAGATTGAATGCATGGGTGAACGAACAACGTTGCGCTTGTGGCGGAGGCCTCGCGGCCTCTTGGGTGCGTATTGCAGGCAACCGTTCCTGGGTTATTTGGGTTGAGAGCAATGTATGTATTCTGGCGCGATGAATGTGCCCAGAAAGGTTTTGTTACGGGCTGCTGAGGCTTTCCTGTCCGCATCAGGCCGACCCGTTCTTCTTTCCGACTACTGAAGAGGAGAGGGAGGAATTTGGAGAGGACGGACTGCCGCTGCCCAACTTGGCTCGCAGGCTCATCGACGCCGTCCGAAGGAGGAAGGGGCTACAGGTGGAGCAGAAAGTGGTGGAGAAGGCGACGAAGCAGAGAACTCTCGCAAAGAAAGTGTGACGCGGACGTTTCAGTTGGTGCTGAGCGGCGCTTGAAAATGTCGCACCGCCCACGGTGAACTCATGAGTTCATCGATCAATGGGCGATGGATGCCCTGCGTGAGGGGCGCTGAGAGCCTTCGCTTCTGCTTCATGACTTCCAGGAGGTGTTGGCGCCTTCGTGGGGCCGTCATGGATTAGGAATTCGCCCCCATGCCATCTCATACTGCGCCGTGTCGATCGGGCGTTTGTGTGGAATGGCGCTGTACCAGGCGTGCAGATTTTCTGCAGGGTGGTGCTGCTGGTTTCCTTGCCAACCATGAGCCCGCCTATTGGGTATGGGTAAATCGACTGAAATAGTGGGGAATTTGGAAGATGGGCTTTCATGTTGGCATCTTGGAGCAGTGCTGTATGCTTCTTGTGTTCGGGATGGCGCCATGGTGGGGCTCTGTACTGACTGAACCAGGGGCAGGGTTCAGTGTGGTGTCGATTCGTTTGGTGTTGTGTTAACTATCAGCTATGCAGGGATGGGCGAGGCGGTCACACCGTTGGGAAAATGCTCTTCAATCCGTTTGTCGACAATCAATTGACTGCCGCCGACCCTCCTAACATGTGGTGCAGGACTCCACTGCCGTGCCGATTCGTAATTGTACGGTAGTGTACGTGTTGTTCTTGTCGACTTCACCTTTAATTATCCAGCCGCTCAATGTCTGGCGCAATATTGACGTGTACTGACTAATATGCGTACAACATACTTGATCCCTGTCAGAAAATTCGACATAGGTGGCCACAAAGCGTTGGCAACAAGAGAAGTGCACATCGGTCACCGCAGAGGTCAGGAACAGCCGGTGCAATTGTCGAATTTCGGCTCCCTGAACGATAGGGGCTGGTTTTCGGCCAGGAACGATGCCAATGCATCATATATCAATACATACATAAATTGAACAAACGTATTATTACAGTAAGCAGCATGAAACTTTAAGACAAATGAATTTGACGGGCGCAATTTGGGAAATGGATGGATACGCATGGACAGGTCTCTGGCCTTTAAACGCCAAATTAGCCAAAAGGCGACGAACTGTGCGCCTCACGTTGTGTGCTGCTTCTGTACACGTGCGCAGAAGTTACTACCCGCAAGCGCTGAATTGCTTCTTGCCTAGAAGTGAATGTTCATGGGACGGCAGGGGTGACACGTTAGGACGACAGTACACAATAGAAGGGCATGCATGTTGAAGGGCGTGCACCAAGTGACACCAAGCAGCTGTGAGGGGTGCTTCACGCCCGCGCCAGCTGCATCCTGCGCCTGCATCTCTCCTATCCGTCCGCAGGCCCCACACCCGTCGACCACCCATCCTCCTGCCGCTTCCTCACCCGCCGCCCTCCTTGGCCCATGGGTCAGGAGCCTCGACAGCGTCTAGGAACCCCGCTCGCCACAGTCGCTGGGGACGAGCTGCGAGGCCAACGTCCGTTCCCACCCCCGGAGGGCCTTCTTCATCGTTGCGGTGTGGTCTGCGAAGCTCAAAAGTGGCGCCATCAGTTGCTTCTCTGCCTCCGCCGCTCCATCTCAGCGCATTCACCGATGCCTTGCCAGATGCCGGTATCCCCAACGACGGCTTTCTGCCGCGCGTTCCACGCCGTGTTACGTTAAAGCCTGTCCCAAATTTTCTACGTTTCCATGCGTTCACCATCAGGGGGTCCCCTCGCGGCGATCACTACAATCGCCACAGCGCCATCCTGGGAAGTGGTCTCACGACGAGGGCAGCCTGCAAACCAAGAGGGAGGCCTCACTGGGGAGCTCTCAGCGGCGACCGCATGACCATTCTACCAATATTCCGCAATTGGTCGCTGCTCGTTGGCTAATGCACTGATTGTACTTTACATATGACAATCATATTGTGACTTTCACAATTAACTATATGATTTACGCTAGTAATGTGAGCTCACGCACAAGGAAAATTGTGTTCGTCGTGATCCTCGTATGTAGAGGTGTTGAAAGGAACACCCCATCGTGCGCAGAACGACGGGCGATTCCCCTCCGGAGTCAGCCAGAGAAGCGGCCACCGCAAATCGTCCCCTTTCGGCCTTCGGTCGCAGCCCGCACTGGCTGCCGGAACCCGCAGTACCTCCGCCTTTGCGCAGTCCCGTCCACCGTTCGCGATTCCTTCTACGCACCACGTAATGCGCCCTCCCTTTCGCCTCCCGTCGCTCCCCGTCAACCCACGTCGCGCCAGCACCCGCGCCGGCGCACGGCGCCCGCGACCGCCCAGCCCTCGCAGGGCGTGCGACCCTTCACCGCGCCTTAGTAAGGCACCGGCGTGTGGAGATGCCCCACGTTCGGGGCACGCGTTCGGACGCTGGCGATGGGCTTTCCCCTGCCACGCAGCCTTGCGGGAGCCACGCCCTCGGCTTCGAGGGCCTGGGATTTGCCAGGCGGCTCGGAACACGGCCTTGCGGCACTCGGAGCAGGAGCCGAGCACCACGAATATCTGTTGCAATGTCCAAGCGTCCGACTTTTGCACGCCAAACCACTTTCCCATCAATCCTTTCACACGTTCCAGCTGTCCATCCACTCGCGATTCAGCCCCACAGCCGCACTTCCGTCGCATAATCCAACGTGCCTTTCAAGCACGACAGCTGTCGCTACTCTTGATTCAAGCCCACAGCTGTCCACGCGCCGAATCATCCTACGCCGTTGCCAATGCATTGGCAATTGTCACATGACAAGCAGCCCTCCCGACACTTCATCACCCATCAAATCGATTCTTGGACGACGCCCGCATAGTGAAAATGAAGTTTAAACGAGGCACAGATGAAGTTGACCACGACTCATTATCCCAACTTCAACAGAGGGTAAACGTGCCAAATTTCTGTGTAATGCGCTTATTTTGCTTATCTAGACCATTTGAGTCATGCTGGCTTATTAGAGCATTATTCTTTAAGAGAATGGGTGCGATCATACGTCGCATACCTTTAACCGAGGTAACGAGAGGTAATGGGCGCAAGGGGAGCCGCTGAGAACGGGTGATGTACACTCGGATAGATAATCGGTGTGATAGGGCAATACAAGCTCCTACCTTTGTACCTGCATTACATCGGACATATTTACTTGGCACCATACGGCCATGGTTCCTTAGATGTGGTAGCACCTGAGGAAGCCGGCTGGCATTACAAGAGGCCTGCCAAGTGGCCATGAGACTATGTGAGTGGCTCTTCAAATTCGAGGTCGCATTACACGAGGCCGATGTTGGCATTACAAGAGTGTACGGGGCATTGCACACAAGGCCGAGGGTGGCATGACAAGAGGGAGGGTGCGCCACCTGCAAATCGGGATGTCTTGTAAGCTGATTATCTTAGTTTGCTGGTGCAATTTGATCTTTGCTTGGACCCAAAGGGCCACTATGTGATGCATCATACAGCTTGCCTATTTTTCCAAATATTGATGAAGTAGAAGCAATAGCCTCTCGGATCTTTGTTTGTTTTTCGGTGGCAAAACTTTGAAGTTAGTTGTTGCTCTCAAGTTTTAGGATTTCTTGAGAGACTGCACGGGAGCGATGTCCCTAATGTCGTGATGTTGGCAGCATATTAACCAAAATGATTCACACCCTTTGATGCAAATCCAACAGCACAATCCAACACATTGACCAATTCATTTCTGCCTTACCGGTCTCCTTCAACCCCCCCCGTGTTCCCCACACGACACTACATTACAATACTCACAGTTTGGTGTCCATCACCTCACTAAACAAGACCCGATTGGCGACCCACTTGAAATGTGCCCTCGCTTCGCATAGTACTTAATGCCACTCTGATGGTGACTCAACCCAGAGTCAGCTCCCCTTTCCTCGTACTCGACTCCCATTCCATCCCACAGCTAACCGAACTCACTCTATTAGGGTGGGCCGGGCGGGTGCGAAACAAGATAAAGGGGGGCGCCACGGGTCGCGCCTAAAATAGCCGCTCCCACTTGCCGCCAAACTCCCCGCCAAACCCAAGGGCCAGCTTGACCGGTCCCCTTGGCTGCGCCCAAGGTACAAGGATCAACCCCATCGCCCTAGGATGCGTCGGGCAGTACTGACCCCGAGTACAGGGGTGACAGAAACCGGCTGATGGATGGCCCAAACTGTCCCAAAGGGCGGAACGGCCCGACCTGGCCGTTGCGCGCCCACCCAATCGTCGTCCTGGGCAGAAACTCATTAACAGGATAGTTAATTCTATTTCTGCCTTACCGGTCTCCTTCAACCCCCCCTGTGTTCCCCACACGACACTACATTACAATACTCACAGTTTGGTGTCCATCACCTCACTAAAACAAGACCCGATTGGCGACCCACTTGAAATGTGCCCATTCACACTGGGGCACGGTGCAGCTCCTCCGGAGCTAAGGCGTGGTCATGCCTTGGTCACTCTTGGGCCGATGACGCCCCTCCGGGGCAGAAAAGATGCCCGTACTGGGCGTGCAAGTCGCGGGCCGTAATCGTCATCCAGCCAAACAGCCGGTAGTCCCACTCGGACGGGAGGCGGTACACATCGATGTACTTCCAAATGACGTTGCTCCGCCACTCGCCCCACGCGCGAATGCGCCCCTCCGGCACCTCGAGCGCGTAGCAAGCGCTGGCGCCACCCGCACGAAGGCCGTGATGATCGAAGTGCTCGGGCGGCGGAGAGGGGAGGGCGCGGAGGAGGACCGGGAACCAGCTGGAGACGGTCGGCGCCGACGGATCGGCTTCCCCCGGCAAGGTGTAGAAATGGCGCGGGGAGGCACCGGCATCCGCCCACGCCTTGTCGCGGGCCGCAGACCAGCGAAGAAAAAGATCCACCACCGCGGGCGCCCCGCTGGAAGGCCAAGAGCGGCAGCGCACACGCGGGTCCGTGGAGACGCAAAGCTTGGTCCGCCGCTCGCGAAAGACCAGCAGGCCGTTCTCGAGGCGAAGGTCCTCGAGTAAAATCAGGTGGCCGCTTTGCGCCCGATTGAAAAAGATGAAATCCAGCGTTGCCGAACAGGCCGCCCGTAGGAGGCGAAGG